ACGGTGCTGAGAGGTGTGCTGCTGTATAAATCATTGACGGATGTACTCAACTGACAGGTCATGTCTTCGGTTTTAGTAAGTCCCTACTAGAATAACATGAGGATCGGAAACAAGTTGAAATGGCGAACGCGGTAGCGTCTTGATAAAGCTACTACACGAAAAGGCAGGGACGGAATCCAGCATGATGGAGTGATCTGGGAGTCATGGTTACTCCGTTCAGCTACAACAGACGAAGGATTCAGTAAGAGGTAACTTGCGAAACGGGGCGACGCCGGACTCATCCGCCGAGACACACAGTAGAGGTAACTCGCAAAAGAGCTGGATTGACGGGACGGGAGTGACGGGAACCATGGCAACCTACAAGAAGGTAGGGTGTCCAGTTACGGTAACATAAGACATCCCTGAACAGGAAAAAATGGTTGTTCTGGGCTAACCGCATAAAGCGTCGCTGGATTAGAAACCATGGTGCGCTGCCGGACCAACGACTTGGCGAGCTTCACGCAATCAGAATTGAGCTAGCCTAGGAAACTCCGAGAAATTCAGCTATCCAAGATGCTCCAGACATTCATAGAATGACGAGGACGAATGGCTTGCGGAAGCGGAACAGCATGCCATGCACTGGCGGAAATCTGACAGGGGGGACGCGGGCTTTGGGGCCACAACCTTTCGCGAAGTCATAATATTTCGCAAGTAACACTAGTACGAAATCGACAACTGTAGTCAATACGAGGAATGAGTACTGTACCTACCAGGTAGCGAAAGGAATATGTTTCGCATGCGCCAAGTTCACTGTACCTCTCCGCTAGACCTGCGCAGACTTCTGACAACTCGCTAGCGGGAATTTCCGCTTCGTGTTTCTTGGTTGATCAAAAGGGAGTGCATAGAACCTTACATATGATAAAGCACTTCTTCAAAGCTCTTGCTTCCACCATGGCAGCAATGTACCACCTTGCTCAGTAGCCAATCCAGAACAATCGGCAGTAGCCTTCTAGCATGTACCGTATTCACAAGTATGGACATCATGCTGATGCTACTACAAGACTAGCATAACCTCTTGCTACAAATGCCTCTGCAGCTCAAATGCCTCTGCAGCTCCCCACAACTAAGCCATGACAACCCATCTACTTTTGGGGCACGTCAATGGGGCAAGAGCCATCGTCCACATTGGCAAGCGGGTCGAAGAAAGGTGAGCTGGGGTCCATGCAGCCTGGCACAAGGTCAAGCCGGCATGACTGGCCCTGAAGGTGGGAACACAGGCAAAAGATAATTGCATTTGGAGGATTAGGAACGATTCAATCGAGGAAGCTACGAAAATTTGGGCTTTTGAATAGGCACGGGCAGCATGAGAGCATGAAAGAAATGTGAAAGCCCCATTTACCTCTTCCTTGGCGATACCGCCCGGCATGATGCATCGGTCCGGCACGTATTGAGAGTCGGGGAAAATGGTGTCGTCACACGCTCCCTCTGCCTCCAACGTCTTCTTCAGACCCTGGTGTTGGGGGAGAGAGGGGGCAGGGGAGCGTGGGACGGGTGGGGGAGGGGTGTGTGGGAAAGGCCAGTGTGTGCGCGTGTGCGTGTGTGTGTGGGTGTGGGTTGAGCAGACAATGCTAACCGACGGCGCCTCACCTCATTGAAGAATGACATGGGCTGGCTGCGGAAGGCGGCCGGGATCTGCATCTCCACGGTGTACGGGCCATCCCAGGCCTCTGAGAATTCTCATAAGGTACCTCCGACTATGCCTGCTCTGACTGCGCTTCCGTCCAACTGAGCCTCACCTCGTTGAAGAATGACATGGGCTGGTTGCGGAAGGCAGCCGGGATCTGCATCTCCACGGTGTACGGGCCGTCCCAGGCCTCGCCGTTAGTCATGGAGAACTCGATGGTCTTGGCGTGCAGTGGCACGTTCACCTTGATCGAGAACAGCGGCGCGCAGCTCGGCCCGCGGTCCTTGCGGCTCATCCGCCGCGCCTCCCCGCCGCACATGATGGGGCTGTTGAAGCCGCCTGTGAGGTGGAAAAGGTGGGAAGGACAGAGAGAACGAATTGACTTTTGAGTCGGCTCAGAAGGAGCTCGGCCCGCGCTCCTTGCGGCTCATTCGCCGCGCCTTGCCACCGCACATAGTGGGGCTGTTGAAGCCGCCTGAGATGGGGAGGAGGGGGAGGAGAAAGGACAGAGAGAACAAGTGAGCTTTTGAGTCGATTCAAATGACAGCTTGCCCGCGATCCTTGCGGCTCATCCGCCTCGCCTCCCCGCCGCACATGATGGGACTGTTGAATCCGCCTGGGCGAGAAGGTGGAAAGGACAGAGAGAAAGAAATGGTTTCTAAGGCCCCATTGACGACGGCTCTTAGCAGGTTACAAGACTGGAGCGCGCGTGGAGTGGAAGTGCAGAGAGGTCCGGCATACCGTTTGTCCGTCTGCCCAATCGTGAGAGGTTCGGCACACAGCGAGAGGGCGATTTGTGAAAAAAATATAGGCGAGAATTGCAAATATAGGCAAAAGGGCCCGGGCAGAAAACAGCTGGAAAGGTTTCGAGAACGGGGAAGGGGTGCGAGAGAGTGACGAGCATCGGCCGAGGCGGCAAAAAGAGAGCAGGGGCGGCGTACCGTTGAAAGCAACGCCGAACTCGGGGTTGGGTGTGAGAGTGGACGCCTCGGGGTTGAACCAGATGGTCATCAGCTCGCCCTGTGATAACAGAGAGACATGCGCGCGGGAGAGGGTGGGGACGGAGAGGAGGGGAGGGGATGCCGTGTAGATACATGTGAGTGGACTCAGACGGTTGGGCGTGAGGGTGGACGCCTCGGGGTTGAACCAGATGGTCATCAGCTCGCCCTGTGATAACAGAGAGAGACGCGCGCGCGGGGAGAGGCGCGGAGAGGGAAGCGATCAGCGTGGAGATAGAGGAACTTGTGAGTCGTCTCAGATGGTGGGGTGTGAGGGTGGAAGTCTCAGAAGGGATGATGGGGAGGGAGAAGGGGACGGGGAGTGGAAGAAGAAGGGTGAGGGATTGGACAGGCGGGGGACTGCTGAGTCGCCTCACGTGGCAGACTCCGGAGCGGGAAAGGATAAAGACGAACGGCAGCAGCATTGAAAGGGCGGATGAAATAGAAGATGGACGTACGGAGGCAGGGGGAAGGCCAGTGGCGGTTTCCCAGAAAACAGGGGCCAAGCCGAGCTCGAAGCGCGCCCACGTGGGATTCTGATACCTGATGACGTGGCAGGTGAACGGGTACGTGGAGCGGAGTGGAGGAGAGAAAAGGTGAAAGCAGGAAATTGTGAACCAAGAACAACACTTCAGTCAGGAAAATGAGCGGAGTTGGAACTTGGCATGGCACCAGCGTGTAATAAGTCGATTATTGAGTCGACTCAAAAATCGACTTACTACACGTGAACGGAGTTGGAGCTTGGCATGGCACCAGGGCCTCGGGCTTGCCGCTGGACTGACCGCATGTGAGCTGCGAGTCGAAAACTCACGCGGTGGCGGGTTTGTCGGTTGCGACGGCGGCACGGACGACTGGCCTCTTGGCGACCGATGCGGCGCGAAGGGGAGCGGCGGAGAAGGTGGAAAGAGAGGCAGACTTGAAAGAGCCGACGAACGCGGATGCTGACGACAGCCAGACGACAAGATGGTTGGGGAGGAAGGGGGTGGATAAGGAATGGAGGGGGAGGGGAAAGGGGGGGGGAGGAAGATGAGGAAGGGCTGGGAGCGGATAACGTGCAGGACGAGGGGGACGCGAGGGAGAACGATGAAAGCCTCTGTCCCACGTGGAAGCACAGACTGCAAATGTGTAACAGGGTATGTCTAGCGAAGCGAGCGAAACCCTAATTCAGGGACGGAGAAGAACGTGCAAGAACAATGCAAATGCTTCCGTTGAGGAAGTATTCGCGTACGACGCGGCAAGCTGATGATCTGGTTGTGCTATAGCAGCGAATATGGGCGGTGGAGCTTACTAAGCGAGGTCGGTGCCCTCGTCGCCGCGCTGGTGGCAGCAGAGGCGAGCTTGGCGGAAACGGCTGCACGGATAGCAGTCGCCATGGTGGATCGCTTCTAGTAGTTACGAGTGAAGCGTATTAAAGAAGCGACGAAAGACGTGGCTCAATCTGCCTTGCCGAATTTCTCAATACAAGCACAGCAGCACAAGCGGAAAATGCGCTTTATATGTGCTGTGGAAGTTGAAGCAAGATTACCAGTGTTGAAATCCGGTTGCCAAGGTTTCTTCGAGCAGGATCGGTTTGAAACTTCCGAGTCACAGCAAAGTGCTGCGGAAGGGGAGGCGGAGGAAGGGGGCGGATTGCGGGATGCGCGGACCAGGGGGAGATCGGAATGTGTGCGCGAGGAAGAGCTCATGGCGGAGAAGCTTGGGGGAAGAATGGCCAGCGGAGTGGAGAGATTTCCCAAGGCGAATGGGGGACCCAAGGCCTGCCGCAGGCTGACATTTTCGCGACAATCCCGTCCCGAGGGTCTACGAGCTGGCGCATTGGTCGAGGGCGTTTGCGAAAACGGGCGAGAACTGGCTTTCCCCATGGTTGGTTACAGAAGACGAACCTGGACGCGAACTGCTTTCAAGAACTTTATGGAGGTGATTGGTCAGCTTTGGTCTGTCCCCGCAGGAAGGGAGAGATAAGTCGGAGAGATGCCAGGTGGCGTAACCAATCCAGTTACAATTGACGGTCGAAAGTGCAGGATTCCGTCAGACGAAACAGTTCACTTCCCATTTGTGATACCTTATTGGTTCAAATTTTCTTTCCACATGCTGTAAAGATATTTGTATAGCCCAACCGGCGTCAGCCACGCCGTTTCCTCCCTCTGTCATCCAGCCCAGCCCAGTCTGCAGAGCCAACAGATATTTCTCGCGTGTTACGAGGCAGAAACCGTTACAATATACACTCGATGCTGTCCTTCAAATATGTATCCTTACCAGGTAAATGAAACCAACTTTTTTAGGCACTTCAGTGGGTTGACAAATCTGACGGTATGGCGTATTTCTGACTTCGCGGCGCTATGGCACATCCAGCGCACGCCGCCCAGCCACACACCCCCTCATTCTTCCGCCGCATTCTGCGGGCCCCGGCTCGCATCATGCGGTCCACGCCTCTCCGCTTCGTCGCCCTCGCGATCCTGCTCGCCTTCTCCCTCCTCCTCACAGGCGAATTCGAAATGCAACGACAGTTCGACCCGCAACGGCCATTCCGCGCGCCGCGGCTCCTTTCCCTCATACGCCCCCAGCACCGCACGGACACAGCAGCGGCCGAAGCAACCCGTGCAGCGAACGACGCGACGAGCCGCAGTAACCCGCATCAGGGCGACGAATCCGAGCAGGAGACGGAGGATCCGACTCCCGCGGTCGCCGCTCCGCCGCTTTCCGCGGAGGATTTCAAAACCCTAGAGAGCCTAATAGAGCAGCCAGTGGAGGAGGAGGATGGGCAGGAGAATGAGGAGGAGGGGGAGAAAGGCGGGGAGGAGGAGGAGGGGGGGGGTCGGGAGAGGGAAAAGGGGAAGGTGGGTTGGGGATGGGTGGGGAGACTGGCGGGATTCGGGAGCCAATTGGCGAATGCCACGTGGGAGAGAGTTGGGGGGGTTGTGAGAGGCGGGATGGAGGTGTGGGAGAAGCGGGAGAAGGCGGCGAGGAGTAGGAAGGAGTGGCGGAGAGTGGTTGAGAGCGATAGGAGGAAGAGGATGGAGGCAAGGAGGAGAGGTGGAAAAGGAAGGAAAAGAAGGAGAAAGGGGAGTGGTGGTGGAGTGAGTGGTAGGGTGGAGATGAGAGGGAATGACATAGAGGAACACGGCAGCAGCAGCAGCAGCAGCAGCAGCGGCGTCAGCAGCGGCAGCAGCAGCAGCAATACCGGCAGCAAGGACAGCGAGCGCAGCAGTAGCAGGAGAGCAGGACTGCTGGAGCGAAGACCTTTTGCTTCTGCTGCTCCAACTCTTACCACAGGTGCTGTACACACTGCTGGTGGTGGTGCTGCTGCTGCGACTACTGGTGCTCTCATTTCACCCGCCAACGTATCATCAGAAGCAGCAGGAGTGGACGGCTGTTTGAACGAGCTGCAGCGTGTGACTGAAATGGACGGACTCCGACCCGACGCGATGCTTCCCAGAAACTTCTCCGTGCACCTGCTGACGCTGGACCCCTCGCGGCGCCGCACGGGGCTGCCCCTGAAGCTGCGCGAGTGGAGCGCTGAGAGCGTGTTTGTCATCGGCACAGGGGAGCCGGGCAAGGGACGACGAGAGACGCTGCTGGTATGGTGAGAGTTGCTGCTTGCTGTGCGTTCTTGCTCCTCTCTCCTTTCCGTTCTGAATGTTGCTGCTGCTGAAGAAGCTTACTGCGACGCCACTATTACATTATCTTTCCTGCCTCCTTCCATCTTCATGGGACTATTTTTAGGCTCCTCAGTAGGCTCCTCAGAAAACCTTCTGTTTTGTCTCTATATGAAGCTGCTGTTTAGTCTGTCTGCATGGAGCACTGACAGCTTATTCGTTGAACAGAGGCACACAGCGATAAGGACACAGGCACTCAAGCCATGCGCCTATCTCCTCTTCATTCCTTCTGTTTCCCACTCTACTCGTTTCCCCCTCTCTCTTTCCCCCACCTCTGCTCATCTCCTCTGCCTCCCCACCTCTGTCTGTCCCCCACCTATCACCTGTGCCCCTTACACCCCACCTGTGCCCCACCTGTGCTCTCTGGCAGAATCTGGACCGTCGGTTCCGAGCGGCAGGGCTGCAGTACACGCAGGTGGTGATGCCCATGGCGCTGGAAGAGCCGTTTAAAGCGAGGTGAGTGTGTGAAGGGGGTTGGCAGAGAGTATACTGAGTTAGTGTGAGTGCGAGCAGCAGGGCTGCAATACACGCAGGTGGTGATGCCCATGGCGCTGGAAGAACCTTTTAAAGCGAGGTGAGTGTGGTAGAGAGCACACTGTGGTACTGGTACTGTGTATGTGTATCTGTATGTGTATGTGTATGTGTGTGTGAGTGCAAGCAGCAGAGCTGCAATACACGCAGGTGGTGATGCCCATGGCACTAGAGGAGCCGTTTAAAGCGAGGTGAGTGTCCTTGACTGTGTAGTCTACTGTGTGTGTGTGTGTGGTAGAGATTATAATGTGTGTGAGTGCATGCAGCAGGGGTGCTCCTTCCTCCCATCCCATGCACCGAAAGAACCCGTGTTCAACTAATGAGACAGCCCTAGAAACTTTTTCTTGCTTTCTCCCCTTCCCACCCTTCCCAGATACGACCCAGTGTTCCCTGCCCGCTCGCTCTCCCTCCGCTCCACCTTCCACCCGCACGATCTTGCATACGCGTTCGCGCATTTCGAGGTGTGGGCGAGGGTGGTGGTGGTGCTGCTGCCAATCACATCCATGCTGCTCCTCTTCCCTTCTCTCCCCCTCTCCCTCCTCCCGCCTACCAGATACGACCCTGTGTTTCCGGCTCGCTCGCAGCGTATGAGCGTGCGGTGCAGCGTATGAGCGTGCGGTGCAGCGTATGAGCGGGCGGTGCAGCGTATGAGCGGGCGGTGCAGCGTATGTGCGTGCGGTGCAGCGTATGTGCGTGCAGTGCGGCGTATGTGCGTGCGGTGCGGCGTATGAGCGTGCGGTGCGGCGTATGAGCGGGCGGTGCAGCGTATGAGCGGGCGGTGCATTCTATGAGCGTGCGGTGCAGCGTATGAGCGTGCGGTGCGGCGTATGAGCGTGCGGTGCAGCGTATGTACCTTTGGTGCAGCGTATGAGCGGGCGGTGCAGCGTATGTGCGTGCGGTGCAGCGTATGTGCGTGCGGTGCGGCGTATGTGCGTGCGGTGCGGCGTATGAGCGTGCGGTGCGGCGTATGAGCGGGCGGTGCAGCGTATGAGCGGGCGGTGCAGCGTATGAGCGGGCGGTGCAGCGTATGAGCGTGCGGTGCAGCGTATGAGCGTGCGGTGCAGCGTATGAGCGGGCGGTGCAGCGTATGAGCGGGCGGTGCAGCGTATGAGCGGGCGGTTCAGCGTATGTGCGTGCGGTGCAGCGTATGTGCGTGCGGTGCAGCGTATGAGCGGGCGGTGAAGCGTATGAGCGGGCGGTGCAGCGTATGTGCGTGCGGTGCAGCGTATGTGCGTGCGGTGCGGCGTATGTGCGTGCAATGGATTTTATGAGCGTGCGGTGCAGCGTATGAGCGGGCGGTGCAGCGTATGAGCGGGCGGTGCAGCGTATGAGCGTGCGGTGCAGCGTATGAGCGTGCGGTGCAGCGTATGAGCGTGCGGTGCAGCGTATGAGCGTGCGGTGCAGCGTATGAGCGTGCGGTGCAGCGTATGTGCGTGCAATGCATTTTATGAGCGTGCGGTGCAGCGTATGAGCGTGCTGTGCAGCGTATGAGCGTGCGGTGGAGCGTATGAGCGGGCGGTGCAGCATAGGGCGGTGCAGCGTATGAGCGTGCGGTGCAGCGTATGAGCGGGCGGTGCAGCGTATGAGCGGGCGGTGCATCGTATGAGCGTGCGGTGCAGCGTATGAGCGTGCGGTGCAGCGTATGAGCGGGCGGTGCAGCATAGGGCGGTGCAGCGTATGAGCGTGCGGTGCAGCGTATGAGCGGGCGGTGCAGGGTATGAGCGGGCGGTGCATCGTATGAGCGTGCGGTGCAGCATATGAGCGTTCGGTGCAGCGCATGAGCGTGCGGTGCAGGGTACGAGCGTGCAGTGCAGTGTATGTGCTTTCGGCGCAGTGTATGAGCGTGCGGTGCAGTGTATGAGCGTGCGGTGCAGCGTATCTGCTTGTGGTGCAGTGTATGTGCGTGAGGTAGAGTGTATGTGCGTGCGGTGCATGGTATGAGCGTGCAGTGCAGTGTATGAGCGTGTGGTGCAGTGTATGTGCTTGCGGCGCAGTGTATGAGCATGCGGTGCAGCGTATGTGCGTGCGGTGTGCGTGCGGTGCAATGTATGTGCGTGCGGTGCAGTGTATGTGCGTGCGGTGCAGTGTATGTGCGTGCGGTGCAGTGTGTGTGCGTGCGGTGCAGTGTGTGTGCGTGCAGTGCAGTGTGTGTGCTTGTGGTGCAGTGTGTGTGCGTGCGGTGCAGTGTATGTGCGTGCGGTGCAGTGTATGTGTGTGCGGTGCAGTGTATGTGCGTGCAGTGCAGTGTATGTGTGTGCGGTGCAGTGTATGTGTGTGCGGTGCAGTGTATGGTCGTGCGGTGCAGTGTATGTGCGTGCGGTGCAGTGTATTTGTGTGCGGTGCAGTGTGTGTGAGTGCGGTCCAGTGTATGTGTGTGCGGTGCAGTGTATGTGCGTGCGGTGCAGCGTATGTGCGTGCGTGTGGCCAGCATAGGGATGTGGCTCCGTTGAATAACTCGAATTGCGTCAGGAGTGAATCATACCAAGCAAGAAGGCACCTGAAAGGCACCAAGGCACCTGAATGGCACCAAGGCACCTGAATGGCACCAAGGCACCTGAATGGCACCATGGCACCTGAATGGCACCAACATAATTCTACAGCTTGAACGGCCGTGCAGCAGCTCTCCCTTGCCCCTCTAGCACATTCATCTTGCTCATACTCTTGTCCCATTGTCCCTGTGTATATCAGGGTGTGGCGAACCGTGGGTGCTCAGTGCGAGTGGGGCTGGATACAGAGGCCGAGAAGAAGGGGTACTTTGAGGACCGCCGGCCGGCCAGCAACATGGACCCCTACGTGGTCACCTCCAAGATCGCCGAAACCACCATCCTCTGGACACCACCAAGGGTGAGGCTGGCGTTGCCCTGCATTGATAACCCCCCTCGCTGTGTACTTACCGTCTGTTGCTTCACCTACCATGCGCACAGATTTACTGTGTGTCTTGCTGTATCTGGCTCGCTGTTTCCTCTCATCTGCTCTATGTACCAAACCTTTTCCACAACTTCAGCCTACAACTCACCCTTACCTTCTCCTGTTCTCCTTTCTCGTTTGTGCAGCTTAAAGCACTGGCCAAGATTGTCCCATGGAAGCTGCACTTCCAGAGGGGGTTAGCTAAGGCTTGCTGCCTGACTAGGATGTATCTGTCTCAGTCCCGCATGGTTCCACACCTACAAAAGAACTACTGCTTTCTCGTGTCTAGGTTCTGATATGGTTAGTCATGTTTTCCTGCTGGAGCAGGGTAATATAGTGGATTTTGACTGTGATGCCTTCATCTGTTGGGGATTGCTGGTGCATTCAGTGTATGCTGTGCCATTGCAAAATAAAGTGCAGTTTTTATTCAAGTAAACAATGTTGATATCGGAACCATTGCAGAAGGACCACAACACCAAGTGTGATAATTTCCAGCGCGTTTGCAATTAGTATACCATTTCACTTTACTTGCCCTTCATTTGCGTTATATTTCACAATTTGGCATCGTACAGACCACCAATGTTGATAGCAGCGAGGATGCATGAGTTTAATCGTGAAATGTCGATTTGCCACCGTACTAGATTCACGCATATTCCATCCACACCCGTTGTGACCGCGCCAACAACCATTCTACGTCCTCATTTGTCGCGTGCTCTCTGAGTGATTGACTTGGGCGCACATTCGTGCGACAATCCCATTGGTTGCGATGTTTGGCTGCTCCCCGAGCCTTCTGCTTGGGTTTGTTTCTGGTTCGGAAATCTGCTGCTTTCGCGTTCACAGCTGGTGAGCCAATCACACGAGTGCGAAGCAAAGCCAACCAAGAATAATACAGCTTACCTTCTGGAAATATGAGACCCAGCACCGCTCCTTCCTTTGGGTCCAGGCAAGACATGGCGGCTCCCTCGTCTAGCCTGAGCCCGTGTGCCTGCAGAACAGCGCCATTCCCGGCTGTTGTACGGAGTGACAGCTCGTGAAGGAATCCCCAAGAGGAATCCTTGAGTATCCATTTTCTTGTATAAATCATGGCGTTATCGGAGTTGAGTTCAGCAGCTGTTATTCTACGTTCAATAGTTCTTCCACACGTTTCTCAGAAGCTCTCCTATTCTTCAGCTTACCTGCCTGCTTCTCCGTCCTCGTTATTTAGTGAACATGGCTTCGTTTATACATCAGCTCCAGAACCTCGAAATTACCACTGGAGACATCATCGCTGAATACATCTGGTCAGCTCTTTTCCTTCCTGCTCATAATCCTCTGTCTGCATCTCAGTCAACCACGTCGTCAGCCTTCGGTCCTGTTTCTGGTCTTCAAACCTAATGTGGTTTGAGGTTCGTTATGTGTCTGCAGGATCGGTGACTCTGGCATTGACATCAGAAGCAAGGCTCGGGTAAGCATCTTGGCAATTTTGATCCGTACGGACTGCCTTCCGTGCCGCTCCGCTACTCGCACTGCATCTACGATCAATTAACTAAATCGGAACCTATTTTATGTTCGATTCCCACGTGCTGTGAATTGTTACCAGACTCTCAAGGGTCCCATTGGGCCAGATGACGTGGCGAAGCTGCCCAAGTGGAACTTTGATGGCTCCAGCACTGGCCAGGCACCCGGCGACGACAGCGAGGTCATTCTCTAGTGAGTTCACTCTCGCCGTTCATGCTGAAGTAGCTCGCCGCGCCGTTCATGCTGAAGTAGCTCGCCGCACCGTTCAGCCCGAAGTAGCTCGCCGCGCCGATCTCGCCTCGCCGTTCAGGTTGATCGAAGCTGGCAAAAATGCGATGAACACTCGCTGGGAGCATTTGGAAGCAGCTCAATCAAAGCCACTGCTTTGCTTCCGTCTCTCCGTGGACTGCATTGCATCCATCCTGACCCTCATTCTCCGTCCCGCATTGTCCCGCATTGTCCCGCATTGTCCCGCATTGTTCTGCATTGTCCCTCGTGGACCCAGCCCGCAAGCTATTTTCAGGGACCCTTTCCGCGGAGGCAACAACATTCTAGTCCTCTGCGACTGCTACACGCCGCAGGGCCAGCCCATTCCCACGAATTCGCGCGCCGTCGCCGCCGACATTTTTGACAAAGTCAAAGAGCACGAGGCCTGGTGAGTCAGCGCATGGGTCGACATTCGTAGAGAATCTCTGCGCATGAATACGCGACCACATGAGAATCTCTAGCACAGGAGCTAGACCGCAGCACACAATATGCGCCACACAAAATGATTAAATCCGTCTTCTGCTTCGTTCTGCCTCCGTTCCACCAGGTTCGGGCTGGAGCAAGAGTACACGCTCATGCAAAAAGACGTTAAGTGGCCTCTCGGGTGGCCCACGGGCGGTTACCCCGCGCCGCAGGGGCCGTACTACTGCTGCGTGGGCGCGGACAAGGCGTGGGGGCGCGACATCGTGGACGCGCACTACAAGGCGTGCCTGTACGCGGGGGTCAAGATCAGCGGCATCAACGCGGAGTGCATGCCCAGCCAGTGGGAGTTCCAAGTGGGGCCGTGCACGGGCATTGAGGCGGGTGATCACCTCTGGATGGCACGCTACTTACTCGTGGTACGCAGTCGGATCGTGCTCCAAGTACTTACACGTTTTCTGGTTCTTCTCTGCTACCTGGTTCTTGTCACGACCACACGTAGTCTAACGTGCCGAATTTTGTGCTGTGCTGCTCTTGCAGAGAGTGACGGAGATGGCTGGTGTGGTTCTGTCGCTCGATCCCAAGCCCATTGAGGTAAGTGCTCGATGCATGCCCATTGTTCGCTTGCATTCCTTTCCTTCCCTGCCATCATTCACCTCAATGGACGCCGAGTCTCCCGTCGGCCATCACTACCATACCGTTGTGGAGTCCTGACACCTCTCTGACTTTGTGCGTGCGCTTCTGTTCGCTCGGGCGTTCGTGCACAGGGCGACTGGAACGGTGCAGGGTGCCACACCAACTACAGCAGCAAGGCGATGCGCGAGGAGGGCGGGTACGACGTGATCCTGAAGGCCATTGAGAAGCTGGGCCTGCGGCACAAGGAGCACATCGCCGCCTATGGCGAGGGCAACGAGCGGCGCCTCACTGGCAATCACGATACTGCTGACATCAACACCTTCTCATGGGTACGGCGTTTGATGGTGACGTGTGCTGAGCATGGCATGCGCGTGACCAGCATAGGGATGTGAGCTCGATTGCATGACTCTGGAGTTGCGTGAGGTGTGAATCGTACCAAGCAAGAACTCACCTGAATGGCTCCGACTCACTTCGGTAACTTGAACGGACTCTGCAGCAACTTTCCCTTGCGGCCCATTCCTCCTTCTCACACTGATTTCGTCCCATTGTCCGTTTGTCTATCAGGGTGTGGCGAACCGTGGGTGCTCAGTGCGAGTAGGGCTGGATACAGAGGCCGAGAAGAAGGGGTACTTTGAGGACCGCCGGCCGGCCAGCAACATGGACCCCTACGTGGTCACCGCCAAGATCGCCGAAACCACCATCCTCTGGACACCACCAAGGGTGAGACTATCGTTGCATTGACATGGTAATAACTTCTTTTTCTGCGTGCCTACGCTGCTTCACCTGCCATGTTGCTTCACCTGCCATGTTGCTTCATTCGGCAGCTTGCTGTATCTGACTTGCTAAAATTCTCCACAAACTCACCCTTCCCTTTTCTTGCACTATATTTATTTTGTGCAGCCTAAAGCACCGGCCAAGAGTGCCCCATTGAAGCTGCACTTCCAGAGGGGGCTAACAAGGCTTGCTGCCTGACTGGGATGGATCTGCCTCAGTCCTGCATGGTTCTTCACTTACAAAAAAAGCTAGCGCTTTCTTATGTTTAGGTTGTAATATAACTAGTCACGTTTCCCTGCTGAAGCAGGGTGTACTATAGTGGAATTTGAAAGTGATGCCCGCAGTGCTCCAGTGTTTCACCCTGCTTGGTAATTCTCCGAATTTCAAACATTGGGAATCATGAGAAGCACAATATATGATATTTAGCCACCTAGGACCATGGTATTCCTTGTTAGCATGCAAAAACACACAACCTGATTCATACCAGGGTGTATGGCCGGAAGCTGCAAAAACACAGCCACTAGCACTGATTGCATCTCGAATGCAAAGAACATATGGCATGAAGTACAGTCATGACCAGCTAGAACAAGTGTCAGTTGGACAAATCAGAGAAACAGCTTGCACACACAGTTGGTGGTGTGCCTCTGGCAGCTAGAAGGGTCCCTGCAGTTCAGAAATCTTGGCAGAAGGGCTCTAACTAGAGGCACGAGACAGAGAGTTTATGTGTGGTTGTGCAGTGAAGGGAAGAGTGGAGGAGACGCAGGGATGTCCTCGCAACAGTCATATCGTTTTAATGTGCTTGATGAAGCTGCTGCTGAACCTTCAACCTGGGCTTTGAACCTGTCAGTCACTACAGCGTTCAGCACACAGCAAACCCATTATTTTTCACTCGAACGCATGAAGTTTTTACTGGGAAGCAGCCTCGATGTCTGCTAGCCGTAGGGTAACCGCACGCCTGTGCGCCTCGAGTCCCTCAACCTCGGCCATCTTGGCGACAGAAGGGCCGAGAAGCTGCAGGCCCGAGGCAGAGAGTGACTGTACGGTGATGTGCTTGAAGAAGGCGTCGAGTGAGACACCGCCATACATGCGCGCGTAGCCGTAGGTGGGCAGCACGTGGTTGGTGCCACTGGCGTAGTCTCCCACACTCTCAGGGGTCCATGGACCCAGGAAGACAGAGCCTGGGGGTAGTGCAGAGGGAAGAGAGGAGGGCGGATGGGGGATGGGAGTTTGGGATGGGTTTGGTGTTAAGAGGAGGCTGAGAGCATATGGTTGGCATGGTCTCCTGTGCTCTGTGTGGGATCCCCACCCACAAGTCGAGAGACACGCCGCCGTACATGCGCGCATAGCCGGAGGTGGGCAGCACGTGGTTGGTGCCACTGGCGTAGTCTCCCACACTCTCAGGGGTCCATGGACCCAGGAAGACAGATCCTGCGGGGTAAAAAAGAAAGCGGAGGTGTGGAGGATGGGGGATGGGAGAGTGTTGAGGGGGTGGGCAGCACGTGGTTGGTTGGTGCCGCTCGCATAGTCACCCACACTCTCGGGGGTCCCAGGAAGACCGACCCTGGGAGTAGGTTGACAAGCGCATGGTAACCGTGATGGGCATGCATTGCGAGTTTTTGAGTCGACTCAAAAGTTTTTGAGTCGACTCAATTGACAAGCGCATGGTAACCATGATGGGCATGCATTGCGAGGCAGCAGGGAATGCGGCTCACCAGCGTTGCGGATGAGGGGCAGGCAGTCCACAGCCTGTGCTGCGTTGATGATGAGATGGTAAGAGCGCAGGACCAATGGACCCTACTTGACAAGTATTCGTGATTAAACACAAGGCATGCACTGCGAGGCAAGGCAGCAGGAAATGGCCGAGGCTCACCAGCATTGCGGATGAGGGGCAAGTAGTCCACAGCCTGTGCTGCGTTGACGATGAGATGGTAAGAGCGCAGGACCAATGGACCCTACTTGACAAGTATTCGTGATTAAACACAAGGCATGCATTGCGAGGCAAGGCAGCAGGAAATGGCCGAGGCTCACCAGCATTGCGGATGAGGGGCAAGCAGTCCACCGCCTGTGCTGCGTTGACGACTAGACGGGAGTATCTGTATTTGAACACCAGGAGGCTCACCAGCGTTGCGGATGAGGGGCAGGCAGTCCACAGCCTGTGCTGCGTTGACGACTAGACGGGAGTATCTGTATTTGAACACCAGGAGGCTCACCAGCGTTGCGGATGAGGGGCAGGCAGTCCACAGCCTGTGCTGCGTTGATGATGAGATGCTCGGGGGCATAGCGGTTGGAGAAGTGACACGCCTGGTGGGATGGGGGAACAGAGTACGAGGGATGAGGGGAATACCAGTGGGCAATGTGCAGTCGAGAGGAGACCTAACCTGCTTCTGTCTGCACTGCAGATGTGCAATGCACCTCAGTGTTACAGACTGCCTCTCATCCACCACATACAACAAGTGGGTCAGTGCCCTGGCACAGCCACTGCCTCTCCACCCAAGGCTCATTCACACACCCCGTCATGTCGCGTGCGACATCTCATCTCATCTCATCAACCCCTTTCTATCTGCACTGATCCATCTCATCTCATCAACACCTCGGTGATATCAGCCGCCACCACCACGTAAGAGTGGCAACAGTGAATCCTCAGAAGCCAGCAACGCAAACGTCTCTGCAACATCTCAATAGCCCCTTCTGATCTGCACTGCACTGCGCTCCAACTCACCTCGTTGATGTCAGCCGCTACCACCACATAAGAGTGGCTCAGAGCTTTGGCAGCAACGTCCCCTCGGGGCAGCTCTCCCCTTTGGCGCTCCACCTCTGCTTCGATGGCTGCCAGATTCACCCCCTCGCCCACCGCCACCAGCACCACCTGACTGTCTGGCCCATGCTCCGCCTGTCAATACGTGATGTGGGGTAAGAAAGGGATGGGAGGGACAGGAAGGAAGAGAGTGAGAAGGACAGGTAGCTCCCCTCTTCTCCCCGCTGCTGCTCCACCTCGGCCTCGATGGCTGCTAGATTCACCCTCTCGCCCACCGCCACCAGCACCACCTGACTGTCCGGCCCGTGCTCCGCCTGTCAGTGGTTGAAGGAAGAGAGGGATGGGGCAGGGCAGGACGGGGGAGAGTGAAAAAGAAAGACTGGCAACTCCCCCTTCCTGGCGCTCCACCTCCGCTTCAATGGCTGCCAGGTCCACCCCTCGCCCACCGCCACCAGCACCACCTACCTGACTGTCCGGCCCATGCTGCCAGTGGGTGAGAGGAGGGATAGGGAAGGACAGGAAAGAAGAGAGTGGAAATGGAAATCTAGCACTGCGGGTCGGCAGGTCACAGCGCACCTGAGACGCGATGACGAGCACTTCAGTCTGTGGGCCCAGCGGGCATGTCGATGTTCTTCTCACCAGTTTGCAGCTCGCTGAGAAGTTTGCAGCTCGCTGAGAAGAATGTCACAGTCTGTGGGCCCAGCGGGCCTGTCGATGGGCCCCATGACCTCACTGGTGGGCCAGAAGATGGTAGTAGATATATGGACAGGTAGTAGATATGGACACAACATACCAGTAAATTGGGCGTATCTGAGACAGCAGCTCATAAGCTTACAGCATACCTGGGAGAGCAGGTCAGCAACGACGTGTGAAGGAGCAGCCGTCTCGTCGGCAATACACTGGTCTCGTCGTCGTCAGTTGGCCCAGCAGGCGTGTCGATAGGCACCATGGCCTCGCTGGTCTGGCAGCGTCATCTTGGTGCTCACACAGCGCACCTGGGAGAGCAGAACGACTGCTCCCAGCGTACCTAAGTGAACTGGGCTCACCTGGGACAGCAGAACGACTGCTCCCAGCGTACCTAAGTGAACTGGGCTCACCTGGGACAGCAGAACGACTGCTCCCAGCGTACCTAAGTGAACTGGGCTCACCTGGGACAGCAGAACGACTGCTCCCAGCGTACCTAAGTGAACTGGGCTCACCTGGGACAGCAGAACGACTGCTCCCAGCGTACCTAAGTGAACTGGGCTCACCTGGGACAGCAGAACGACTGCTCCCAGCGTACCTAAGTGAACTGGGCTCACCTGGGACAGCAGGTCAGCGGCAACATGTGCCGGGCTGGCCGTCTCGTCAGCAATCACGAGGACCTCAGAGGGCCCAGCCGGCATGTCGATAGAGACCATTGCCTCGCTGGTCTGAGAGCAGATGAGGGAACTGGGGCATACCTAGCACAGCAGTCAGCAGCTCACAGCATACCTGGGAGAGCAGGTCAGCGGCAACATGTGCTAGGCTGGCAGTCTCGTCCGCAATGACAAGTACTTCAAAGAGCCCAGCAGGCATGTCAATAGAGACCACGGCCTCACTGGTCTGCAGTGCCATCTTGAGAGAGAGAGAGCCTGAGACAGCGTACCTGAGACGGATCACCCAGCGCACCTGAGACAGCAGGTCAGCGGCGACGTGAGAGGGAGAAGCCGTCTCGTCGGCAATGACCAGCACTTCAGAGGGCCCAGCAGGCATGTCGATAGACACCATGGCCTCACTGGTCTGCAGCGCCATCTTGTATGATAGGGAGAGAGGCAGCTCACCTGGGAGAGCAGGTCAGCAGCGACGTGGGCAGGACTGGCAGTCTCGTCGGCAATCACAAGGACCTCGGAAGGCCCAGCAGGCATGTCGATTGAGACCATGGCCTCACTCGTCTGCAGCGCCATCTTGGCTGCTGTCACGTACTGGTTGCCGGGACCAAAGATCTTGTCCACCTGAGGGGTGATGAGCGAGCGGTGATGGGTGGTGATGGGTGGTAAAGGGAGAAGGGTAGGCAAAGGTAGAGGCTTAAGCACAACTCCAGCTCGGCTGCTGTCACGTACTGGTTGCCCAGGCCAAAGATCTTGTCCACCTGTGGGGTGATGCGTGGTGATGGGCGAGTGGTGATGGGTGGTGATGGGGCAAGAAGAGGAGAGGGCATAAGCACGCCGCCATCTTGGCTGCTGTCACGTACTGGTTGCCGGGGCCAAAGATCTTGTCCACCTGTGTGGTGATGAGTGGTGATGGGTGGTGATGGGACAAGGGGAAGAGAGAGGGAGGTTGAATGGAGAGCCCTGGCCTTGGAGTGGCAGGTAGGGGTATGCAGTGCCATGGCACAAAGAACGCAACATGGCTGGACTTTTGAGGCACCTCAAAAGTCGCCTTCGAGAGGCAGGTAGGGGCATGCAGTGCCATGGCACAACGAACGCAACATGGCTGGAGTGCATGGCTTACCTTGGGCAGGAGTAGGGGCATATGCAGTGCGATGAGACATAATGGCATACCTCGGGGCATGGTTGCTCAGAGAGCAAGGCTTACCTTGGGGCAGTGAATACACGCGCATGGCTTACCTTGGGGCAGGTGGCTGTGCCCCATGCCATGGCCGCAACAGCCTGCAGCATGGGAACGACGGTGGCAAGGCATGGGGGGAAAGAGATGGGGGGGAAGGGTGAAATCATAAGAGAAGCAACGACTGATATCTTCTGCGTTTTCTATGAACACGAGGGAACTTCGAGTCGACTCATTTTTAATAAACACTTGAGGGAGGATAAAGAACCCACAGCTCCGTTTCCCCGCCCTCCCCTCTCTATTCTTCTTCCTCGTCCTCTAACCCTCCCCCTCCCTCTCACTCTTCGTCCTCTGTCCCTCCGTCTAGACTCGTTATAAGCACACACGCGCACACACCTGGGCCCCTCCCGCCTTGAGAATGTGGGTGGCCCCTGCCTTCTTGCAGCAGTAGAGCACCTCCTGGAAAATAAAGAGGGCGATGCGGAAGAAGTTGCGGAACAAGGACGGTGGCAAGGAGAGGATGAGAGTGTGGGTGATCATGCGTAAGGTGACTGTGCGAATGTGAGTGGCGCCGGGATTTTTGCAATAAACATTTGCTTGCAACCTCCTGGAGTGTTGCGAAGTGGGGGAGGAAGAAGTCACCCCCCTCATGGGTGATGCGGGGTGCAGAACAGTACATAGTCCAAGAGAGTGCGCGCGTGAAAGCAGAAATTACATCAATACGATGAATCAACGGGCAGGACAAAACGTACCGGGCAGATTGAACCATCCAGGCGGGGAGGAGTGGCGACCACCACAGTGGTGCAGCCTGCTATGCCTGCTGGCTGGGGTGGAAGAAGGAAGGGTTGAAGTGGAGGGGGATGGCAAAGGAAGGGTTGAATTGCCTTGAGACTGCCACAGCAGTGCAGCCTGCTATGCCTGCCGGCTGGGGTGGAAGAAGGCGAAATGGGTTGAGGAAAAAGGGGCGGAGACATGTAGAGAGGAGGGATGGCAACGAATGAATTTCCTTTAGTAAACAACAATGATGCAGCCTGCTATGAACGGTGAGAGGGAGGGGCGGCAATAAATGACTGTGCCTGCTGGTTGAAATGGGCGGTGTGGTGGGGCTTGAGATTGATGGGCAGCTTCGAAAGCAACACACTTACACTTCACCTCTCACTTGCTTACTTCTCCACGCTCTCCCGCACTCACCACGGCGAGCATGAGAGCAGTGGACGGCAGCACAGCAGTACCCCCGGGCACATACAGCCCCACGTTCCCTTTCGGCGTCTTTCCCCTACCCCCACTCACTCATTTCCTCGCTCATTTACTCCCTCCCTCTGTGTCCCTCACTCACCACGGCGAGCATGAGAGCAGTGGAGGGTAGCACAGCAGTACCCCCAGGCACATACAGCCCCACCCGCTCTATGGGCCTTGCCACCCGTCCACACACCACGCCCTGCCATTTTAGAGAGGGGGGGAAGGGGCGGGGAAGGGTGGGATGTACTGGAAAAAGACAAGGGAGGGGTTCTCATAGAGCTTCACTCTTTTCTATAAGCCTCGCCGCCACTCGCCCACACACTCGCCCACACACTCGCCCACACACTCGCCCACACACTCGCCCACACACTCGCCCACACACTCGCCCACACACTCGCCCACACACTCGCCCACACACTCGCCCACACACTCGCCCACACACTCGCCCACACACTCGCCCACACACTCGCCCACACACTCGCCCACACACTCGCCCACACACGCGCCCACACACTCGCCCACACACTCGCCCACACACTCGCCCACACACTCGCCCACACACTCGCCCACACACTCGCCCACACACTCGCCCACACACTCGCCCACACACTCGCCCACACACTCGCCCACACACTCGCTCACACACTCGCCCACCCGCCGCCTTCTCTTCCTCCCTCCTTCCCTTCCTCCCTCCCTCCCTCTCTCACTCCACCACTCCCCCCCCTGCCCCCTCCTCCCCACTCACCGGCATGGTCTCCACTTGGAACGAGCTGGACGGCATCTGTGCCAGGTGGAACCCTATGAATCAACTAAAAACCGTTCTCACCCGCCCTTCTCCCCGCCCTATCCTCTCCTCTCCTCTCCCCTCCTCTCCTGACTCCCCCCTCACCGGCATGGTCTCCACTTGGAACGAGCTGGACGGCATCTGTGCCAGGTGGAACTTGTGGATGTTGTTGAACGCCACGTCAAACGCTGCTGCCACGTCAGCAGGCAGCTGAAAATATGTGAGAATGGGCAAGAATGAGAGTAGAGAAGGGTTTGAGGTAGAGGAGAAGAGGTCGAAGTAGAGGAGAAGAGGTAGAGAGCGGGAAGGGAGATGGGAGATAGGGGGTGGAATTGGGAGAATGACTTGGGAGGTGAAGGTGGTGTCATGATAACGTTTTACAGAAAACAAGAATGTAGAAGGCAGGTTGTGGGGGTGTAGAGATGGGTGAAAAGTGGGAAACAGTCGGGAACAGGTGGAAAACTGCAGGGTGATGCGAGAAAACAGAGGGGACGCAGAGGAACGAGGTTGAACAGAGGCAGTGGATAACCGTGATGGCTGATAGTTGAAATGAAGAGTAACTTCCGCGTACCTCAGGGTCAGGCAGCTCTGCCACTCTGACCACCACGTCATCCAGTTTGACTCGGTCAAACCTCTCCGTGTACCTGATTGGTGGACGCGGGGAAAGGGGTAGAGAGGGGGGGAGAGAGGGAAATGGGTGGTGTGTCGCGGATTGGCAAGATGGAGAGGGGTAGAGAAACGTCAAGGGTATGGGAATCAGCAAGTTTCATACGAATAGGGTGGGGAGGTGGTTGAAGGGGCTGCGGAAGAAACAGCTACTTATTTGATAAGAACAGAAGACAGAAGGGTTACACACATTATTGGAGGTGATTACAGAAGCCAGCAACCAATGCGCTAGAATGTGCGTATTGAGTGGCGAGCTACAGTACGTACTCTTTAACAGCCTCGTCGCCCCGTTGCCTCACATCCTCCACTATTGGCCCCACCTGGAGAGGAAGGAGAGCGAGAGGGGAATGGGGCGTGGTAGTGGGGGAAGAGGAGGAGCCGGAAAGTTAGTGGCTCTGGGAGTAATAGGGTATTGGGGGGGGGGGCGGGGAAAGGGTGGTTGAAGTGAAGGGTATAGGGGATTGGCGGATTGAGGATGGGAGGTGAATAGCGTTGAGGTAACAGGAGGACTTTACGGAAGAAACATCGGAGGAAGGTTCCTACCGTACTGAAGATGGAGGAGAAGTCTATGCGTGGCCTGGTGAGTAGCTGCGCCACGTCATCCTCTGCCAGGTCAGCGAGCCGGAACACGCGGAGGCCAGTGGCTGGCGACGAGACCGCAGCAGCTGCTGGGGAGGCGGGAAGAGGAGGAAGCGAGAGGGGGAAAGGGGGAGAAGGGAGGGTGAGAGATTTCAAAAAGAGTTGAGCGTAAGAACCGGCATGCGAGGGAGTTTCTGAGAGCAGTCGTGCAGAAGAAAGCCTTTTGGCGAGTCTCAAGGTTGAAAGCAGGACCATCGGGTTGCCGTTTCACACGTAACCTCGTAATGCAGGCTCGTCACCCTTGCTATATCAAAACATTCGCGCGGCGTGCGTTAACCCTAACTCTTGGTAACCCGAAATCTTGCTAACATTCTCTGCTGTCCCGCAATGCAGCAACGACGCCAGAGAAGGCGACATCAGAAAAACTGCGCATTCATGTAAGCATCCTTTCATGCTCTTTATACAATACGGAAGCACGAACCGGTCGTTTGGGACGCCTCCGCCATGCACTTGATCGTGCAGACGCTGCTTCGACTTCTCGACACGTTAGCAGCGACTGACGGCAACGATCGGAGGCTAAGCCCGTGCGACCAATCAGCGCGCGAGGATGCGAGAAGATTCGCGGAACGCGCCGATCCAGCTGATCCGGCAGCAGCTGGGAGTGAAGTGGGAACCGGTACGATCCTTGAGGATGATAGGCGAGCCGCAAGGGCCATATCTGGCAGCGCAACAGCTGAGCGCAACGAGAGAAACAGCCGCAGAAGCTAGTGAACCTTGGGCTTACTCCTGACGACGCTGCTGCTTCCCTGACAGTTTCAGACGCATATGATGCGGCGGGGCAAATGAGCAACAACTAGCCGTTCTTTTCGTAAAATCTCCATTGGTGTAGTTCCCCGGGGAGCCCCGAATTCCTTGGGATCTCCACGGCCGATGTGTGGCGGGGAATAGAAGTTCCTTCGCCTATGGTTGGGAGGAGCAAGCGAACATGACGAAAAAAATCGATGACCAATCACCTGTGCGCTACACCAGATGGCGACGTCGTTTGTATAACGAAACTTTAACAGACAGACTGAAATGTGTTTCGTACCCAGCAACGATACAGGGTTCTGTAAGGTAGATAGAAAACCTGCGGACAATTTTGTTTAGAGTAGAGTTGGAAACATTATATACATAAAATAATAAAAGGAATATGTTCTACCTAGCACTTCACCCTCTTGTAGAGAGAGTTAAGCAACCACTCCAAATGTTGAGAATCTGCAATCCGCTGAAATCTCTGTCGTTGAGACATAGTCGGCAAGAGGGCCACTAAGGCTAGTCTCTGCATTCCGATCTTCAATGTTCAAGGATGTGTAAAAAGGCGTCACAGTCAGCTCCAGCTTAGAGGATGCACGGATTGCGCTGCCCAGAAGTCCATTGACCGTGGGAGAGACCTTCACCTTCATCAGCTTCACAGACAGGTGTCCTTCACCTGCATCCCCTTCGCCCCGCACAATACTTGCCCGCACCTCCACCATCATCAACCCCTCAATCTCCACTCTATACTTCACCATGTTCACAGGCCACTCGCTCTCCTCTGCCACTTTGCTAAGTACCAGCCCTCCTGATCCAGTCACCCGATCGCCCACTGCCTTTGGAGGCGACAGCGGCACGCCATCCAGCTCCAGAAGGGACAACAAACTATCGGCAGTATCTGCGATATTCCTGCTGTTCTCAGCAGTTACCCTGGGTGTTACTGCCATGCGAAGTGAATGCAGCCCATCAGCCACCCACACAAACCCAATTTCCCTGATAGCTGCCTGTGCTCCCTCCCTCTCGCCCTCTCCTCCTTCCACTACACCACTCACTTCATCACTAGTGCTTGCAAGAGCAGCCCTCACAACAGCTGCAGTTGCTCTCTTCTCAGCTTCTTTCCTGGCAGCAGCAGCAGCATCGGCAGCAGCTGCTGTTGACATCTGGGCGAAAGCAGGGTTGGATGTCGGGGCCGCAGCATACGCCACATCACCGGACGCCTCCGCCAGGTCACCACCAGCAGCCTGCGGTGGAGATTCGCGGAGCTTGATGTTGATGTGCAATCTACGGTCGGAAACGAGGCAGAAAGACGCGTTGAGCAGGCCTTGCTGGGTCAGTGGCGGCGGTCGCTCCGCCCTCCGCCGAAGCACAGCAGACGCCGCCCGTGCTGGTTTCCCAAGACGCCGCGCTGATGATGTTGCAAGCGGCAGGGCGCCTGCAGAATCATTACCACCGGCGGCGGACACGCCAGGCGTTTCTGTGGCGCGGCCTCCGTCGCACATCCCACCGAGCCAGCTGAGCGGGAAATACGGCGACATGGCGCGCTGCTCCTTGACATCCCCGCTAAGGGGCGTCTGGTACTCGCCAGAGTGACCCGCGCCGCCGTCTTTCGCGAGCAGGTAGCACTGCACGCCGCTCATGAAGCCGCGGACGTTTACATTGTCGCGTAGCCGGTTGCTGTAACGGGAAGAATCGGGAAAGAGGAGTGTAGGGAAGTGCAAAAGATTGAGACGTTAAGAAGATTCTGGAAAGCGGCGGTTGAGAAACGCGGTGATAGACGGGAGAAGAGACAAATTCCGAAAGCAATTTGGGTAGTACGAGAGGAAGTGCACGTAAGCGCGGCACGGCGCGTATTGAATCTGCTGAGTGATATTTTTATATCGAAGCTCACCTGTGGAAGAAGTGGTATTGGTAGCAGCCGGCTGTTCGCTTGCATGCATCGCAGCACTTTTCAAGGGTATCGCCAGCTTCGCCGTCGACGACAGCCACGTGGTTACCAACTTCCTGGACAAACAAACGACGCACACATAAACATTAGCATTCCCGTATGAGGCGTGATTAATCATTTAAACAGACACTGAGATACGGTTCAGCTGCAAACGTAAAGCAACGCGAGAGACCGAAACGTCCCGTCTGTGAAATGAAAAACCACCGTGATCATACGCACCTGGAAAACTTCGAGATTGACGGGGCCGGATCCTCTGGCGTGGTTCTTGAACTTTCCGCGCTGGCTGAGGAAGAGCCCCTTGAAGTTGCCGACGAGCGCCGCGTGCCGGTGCAGGCTACGCGCGTTCACCCCCGCGTCTTCCAGCCCGCGCAGCTGGCGGCACGTGTCGCAGCCGCCGGGGGGGAGATTCGATCCGGCGGCGATGGAAAGGATTGAGTGTATAACGAGTATGACAATCGCGAGGCTGACGGTCCCGCCGCATATCCGTGGAGAGTATATCGTGCCGCGCAACGCCATCTTAACGACTTCAATCTCTGTAAACAGAAGCTCGAGCGCTGAAAAAGGGCCGACTCGGAAACTTTCCTTGAAGATCTGACAATGCGAGCCTCTTCCGTCGGACGCGAATCAAGAGCGATTCTTCTAGCTTGACGTTGAGGCACTCCCGATTCTTAAAAGCGAAGTTAAACGCCTCTGGCTGAGAACTTGCGCGATCGAGTCCGCAGTACTACGTCGACTTGAAAATCGTGCTGGCTGAGAATGGACGCGATTGAGCGAGTAATTACGAGTAACGACCCTGACGTTTGGAAGGAATAGGTTGGTGTGCTCATATAGGACTCGGCGCTGAAGCACCCTGTCGCTCGACATGGATCTTCTTTCGCCGCGGCTCGGCGGCATGGCAGTCCTTTTGTCTGCTTCGCGTCCTCCCGCACCTTTCCAGACGAGCGCCAGCCTGGCAGCCAGCACCTCAGGCTGGCACCTGTTTGACTCATTCAATCTTAAGGAGCAGAGCACAGTACTGTAAGAAATTATGACGCCGCAGTAACATCAAGTCTGCGTCGCAACTCATGGAGGCTTGAGGACGGACTCGCGGAGTCGCGGGACATTATCGTTCTAGCGATTACTGTTTCGTTGTTGCGATAGTCGGCATCTGTGGGCACTTTCCTCACGTGCTCACCTCGCGGTGCCACCAACGCCAAGATCTACGTTATCGCCAACGCTCTTCTTCCTTGGGCCTCCCTGCCTGTACCCGACGGGAATGGTTGCTGAAGATTTGGAGTGTGTGGTGGATGGGAATGGGGAGGTGGGTGTGAGAAAAAACCTGAGGGAAGGGGGGAGAAAAGTGAGGTGGTGGTGAGATTGTGCGGATTTACAAAGATTCAAGGGAAGGAAGGGGAATGCAGTGCAGTGCAGATGCCAGATCGCAAATGTGTACTGCAGTGATGCGGTGCGGCGTAAGGGCGTGAGGGGCGCCGTGGCGCGTCATTATTGTAAACCTTGAACAACGGCGAAAGTTTCCAACCTTGAACGACGGCGAGAGCTCTGGTAACGTAAATCGCGAAGCAATCGATGGTCGACGAAAGGTTTGAGCGAAACGAAACTGCCGTGGAAGAGGACACGAATACAGCTGCAAAACAGCTCGACTCAGCAGGCTGACGTACAACAAAGCCCGACGTGGTTTGACAGACTGGAGGCGGATTTGCATCAGCACTGTTTGAAGGACGTGGGTGACGGAGTTCACATCGCAGCGTCGGACTCAAAATATCGTCAGGAGTTTACAAAGTTGGATAACTACACCAACGTAATGTTTTTGCTTAAACAAAACAAACCGCACATCGGCCTAAGTGCAAGCAAGCCCAAAAATATCAAGCTTACCTTATTTGGGTATATATCACTAAAAAAACAGGCACAAAGTTCAAACGCATGACAGATGAAGCAGTACAGAAAATGTGCTGCAAGCTGACACACATTTATCTCGCCTGGCCCATTTGATGGAGCAATTGCGACTAGAACCTATATTCTCCAAGCAGTCCGCACACACAGAGATGCCTCTACATAAACTCATCCCACCGACCCCCTAAGCAGCCGTACATGCATGACACATCATTTTGCCAACCCAAACCTGGCACCTCTCCAAGACAACGTCCTCCTCGTCCTACCAGCCCTGAATCCTCATCGACAATTTTCCTCCTATACAACACTTCTTTCTTCTTAGCAGACTTACCGGTAACAGCATGATCCATGGTGGGCCGGTCATCCCAATCCGTCGTCACACTCACTTTCGCCACTCCCAGCAGTGTCTTCGCCTGCACCTCTTGAGCCGACTCAAAAGCCATTCCAAAAACTGCTTTCTCATCCCATCACCCCTTGCATCATCTCCACCACGTTATCCATGGTGGGCCGGTCGTCCCAATCCCAGCAGAGCATGCTCTTCTTGAGTAAACTCGAAAGTCACTCAGACAACAGTTTCCTCATCCCATCACCCCCTGCATCATCTCAACCACGTTATCCATGGTGGGTCGGTCATCCCAATCCGTCGTGATACACACTTTCGCCACTCCCAGCAGCGTCTTCGCCTGCTCCTCACTCCACTGCCCCTCCAGACGCGGGTCCATCACCGCACCCGGCTCCACCGCTTCCGACCGCACGGCACCGTTCACCACATCGTCGAACTTGGCCTCCAGGACTGAGTGGCCTGTGGCTAGCTCGATGAGGAAAATGCCAAAGGCAAATGTGTCACAGTGCTCGTTCAGGTAGCCTGGAAGAGGGGGGAATGGAGGGGTGGAGGAGAAAAGGGAGAAGGGAAGGGGAAGAGGGAAGGAGAGGGGACTTCATGACTGAGTGGCCTGTGGCTAGCTCGATGAGGAAAATGCCGAAGGCAAATGTGTCACAGTGCTCGTTCAGGTAACCTGGGGGGGAGAGAACAGAGGGGTGGAAGGAAAGAGAGAAGAACTGACGGGTCTTCATTGCTGAGTGAGTGAGCTCGATGAGAAAGATGGGAGGGGGGGAAAGCAGAAGGGCGGGACGAACATGGGGAGAACCAATGGGTCTCCATCGACCCATCACTCGGGCGGGTCCTCACGTGGTGGTGGTTCTGGGGGCAGTCAGCTCCAAACCCAGCAATGAAGACCACCCACCCACCGACTCAGCTGTCAGAACAGCACTCACCGACTCACCACCCACCCACGTGTAGTGAGTCGATTTTTGAGTCGACTCAAAAATCGACTCACTACATCTGGGGGCAGTCAGAACAGCACTCACTGACTCACCACCCACCCACCCAGCTCACCAAGCGCTCCAAACCCCCCTCTCTCCCCCTTCTTCTCCCCCTCCCCCCCTCCCAGCGCACCTGACTCGAAGTACTCAGGGTCGATGTAACCCCGTGACCCCATCACTCTCGTCGTCACATGGTCCTTCCAGTTCTCCACTATCCTCGCCAGCCCAAAGTCCGCCACCCGCGGGGACAGGCCCTGGGGTGGGGAGACGGAGGGTGGGAACGAAAGGGGGGGAGTGGGAGGGCGACAGAAGGGGGTGATGGCGGGTCGTTACATGGTCCTTCCAGTTCTCCACTATTCTCGCCAGCCCAAAGTCGGCCACCCGCGGGGACAGGCCCTGGGGTGGGGAGACGGAGGGTGGGAACGAAAGGGGGGGAGTGGGAGGGCGACAGAAGGGGGTGATGGCGGGTCGTTACATGGTCCTTCCAGTTCTCCACTATTCTCGCCAGCCCAAAGTCGGCCACCCGCGGGGACAGGCCCTGGGGTGGGGAGACGGAGGGTGGGAACGAAAGGGGGGGAGTGGGAGGGCGACAGAAGGGGGTGATGGCGGGTCGTTACATGGTCCTTCCAGTTCTCCACTATTCTCGCCAGCCCAAAGTCGGCCACCCGCGGGGACAGGCCCTGAGGTGGGGAGACGGAGGGTGGGAACGAAAGGGGGGGAGTGGGAGGCCGACAGAAGGGGGTGATGGCGGGTCGTCACATGGTCCTTCCAGTTCTCCACTATTCTCGCCAGCCCAAAGTCGGCTACTCGGGGGGACAGGCCCTGGGGGGGAGAGGCGAGGACAGGGAAATGAGATGAGGTACAAGGGAGGGAGGGGAAAGGAGGCAGGAGGGAGGGGGAGGAGGGGGAGAAGGGGGATGGGGGACAGGAGGGTGGGTCGTCACATGGTCCTTCCAGTTCTCCACTATCCTCGCCAGCCCAAAGTCAGCCACCCGGGGGGACAAGCCCTGGCGGGGGGAAGTGCAAGAGGATGGGAGCAGGGCAAGAGAGGAGGAGCGAGCGACGAGAAGCGGAAGGGTGAGGGTCGCTCTGTCCTTCCAGTTCTCCACTACCCTCGCTAGCCCAAAGTCTGCCACTCGCAGGGACAGGCCCTGAGTGGGGGAGGGAGTGCAAGAGGGTGGGAGGAGGGCACGAGAGGAGGAGAGATGAGAGGTGGGGCAGAAGGGTGAGAGGGGTCGTCACATGGTCCTTCCAGTCCTCCACAATCCTCGCCAGCCCAAAATCGGCCACCCGGGGGGGCAGGGGGGTGCGGTGCAGGGGTGTGGGAGGGGCGGGAGGGGCAGGAGGGGCAGGAGGGGCAGGAGGGGCAGAAGGAAGGGGCAAGAGAGGAAGAGCGACGAGTGTTGAAGGAGTGACATAGTTTCACTGCCAGCACCACGTTGAGCACAGACTCCTGACTGTGCAAGGCATTGCGATGAACAAGAGTGCTCTGCGGTGCTCTGAGGTGCTCTGCGGTGCTCTGCGGTGCTCTACGGTCCTCCTCACCTCTGCCAGCAGCACGTTGGGAGCCTTGAAGTCGCGATGGACGTATTCCTGCCCGTGAATGAACGCCAAGGCCTCAGCGCACCCCTGCAGTGCTGTGCGGTGCTGTGCGGTACACCTACACTCACCTCTGCCAGCAGCACGTTGGGAGCCTTGAAGTCGCGGTGCACGTATTCCTGCCCGTGAATGAACGCCAAAGCTTCCGCACACCCCATGGCCACCTTCATCCGGTCCTCATATTTAAACTCCTCCTTGCCCTCTCGCGCTGTGCGTGTGCGGGAGGGGGGGAGTCAATACGAGTGGGGGAGTGGGGGCAGGGAATGTGGGGTCGATGGTTGATTGCTGTGGATGAATGCAAAGGCCTCCGCACACCCCATGGCCACCTTCATCCGGTCCTCATACTTAAACTCTTCCTTGCCCTCTCGCGCTGTGCGTGTGCGGGAGGGGGGGAGTCGATATGAGTGGGGGAGGGGGAGCAGGGAATGTGGGGTCGATGGTTGATTGCTGTGGATGAATGCAAAGGCCTCCGCACACCCCATGGCCACCTCCATTCGGTCCTCATACTTAAACTCTTCCTTGCCCTCACGTGCTGCAAAAGGAAGGGGAGAGAGAGCAGGGGAGGGTATGTGAGGAGCGGAGGGAGAAAACGAGGGGGAAGGTACACCCCATTTTCTCCCGTGGGGAGGGTATGTGAGGAGCGGGGGGAGAAAACGAGGGGGGCCGATGGTTGATTGCCCGTGGATGAACGAGAGAGCATCGGCACACCCCATGGCCACCTTTCCTCTGTCCCATCGGAACTCCTCCTTGCCCTTGCGTGCTGCCAGTGGGAGAGGGGAGGCAGAGGGGACAAGAAGTGGGGAAAGAAGGGGGATCAGGACACACAGACACACAGAGGAAGCTAGATTTCCCCAGCCTCTCACCTCCCTCCAGCATCTCACCTCTCTCCAGCCTCTCACCGCCATCCATGTTGTCGTCCCATATGCACGCGCCCAGCAACCCCTGAGGCCCATCCAACCGCCCATCCACAAGCACACACGCACAGCCACATACACGCACCTCTCTCCTGCAGCTCACACGCCCACAGCTGTCGCACGCACAGCCCCACCCACACAACCCGTACTACCGTCCTCCAGCAGCTCGTGCACGTCCCCACAGGGGATGAATTCATATATCAGCCACAAGCACACAGCCCCATATCCACACATGCACAGCCCAAAGCACTCGCGCACAGCCCCACCCACACCCCGCGTACCGTCCTCCAGCAGCTCGTGCACGTCCCCACAGGGGATGAACTCGTAGATCATGGCCATTTGATCGTCTGCTATGCACGCCCCCAGCAGGCGCAGGATGTTGGGGTGCCGCAGCTTCCCCATCACCATCATTTCCGTCTGAATTAGGGTTGGGGGGTGGGCGAGTAGGAGGGGAAGGGAAGAGCGCGGGGCACGATTAGAGGAATGCAAGGTGCACTGGCTGAAACACGGCCCCAGCAGGCGCAGGATGTTGGGGTGCCGCAGCTTCCCCATCACATCACCATCATCTCTGTCTGGTTGGGTGGGGAGCAGGGGGAGGGGGAGGGGACAGTGCTCGGTGCTACGTGGAAACTGCAAGGTACAAGGTGCAGCAGCATGAAACACGGCCCCAGCAGGCGCAGGATGTTGGGGTGCCGCAGCTTCCCCATCACATCACCATCATCTCTGTCTGGTTGGGTGGGGAGCAGGGGGAGGGGGAGGGGACAGTGCTCGGTGCTACGTGGAAACTGCAAGGTACAAGGTGCAGCAGCATGAAACACGGCCCCAGCAGGCGCAGGATGTTGGGGTGCCGCAGCTTCCCCATCACATCACCATCATCTCTGTCTGGTTGGGTGGGGAGCAGGGGGAGGGGGAGGGGACAGTGCTCGGTGCTACGTGGAAACTGCAAGGTACAAGGTGCAGCAGCATGAAACACGGCCCCAGCAGGCGCAGGATGTTGGGGTGCCGCAGCTTCCCCATCACATCACCATCATCTCTGTCTGGTTGGGTGGGGAGCAGGGGGAGGGGGAGGGGACAGTGCTCGGTGCTACGTGGAAACTGCAAGGTACAAGGTGCAGCAGCATGAAACACGGCCCCAGCAGGCGCAGGATGTTGGGGTGCCGCAGCTTCCCCATCACATCACCATCATCTCTGTCTGGTTGGGTGGGGAGCAGGGGGAGGGGGAGGGGACAGTGCTCGGTGCTACGTGGAAACTGCAAGGTACAAGGTGCAGCAGCATGAAACACGGCCCCAGCAGGCGCAGGATGTTGGGGTGCCGCAGCTTCCCCATCACATCACCATCATCTCTGTCTGGTTGGGTGGGGAGCAGGGGGAGGGGGAGGGGACAGTGCTCGGTGCTACGTGGAAACTGCAAGGTACAAGGTGCAGCAGCATGAAACACGGCCCCAGCAGGCGCAGGATGTTGGGGTGCCGCAGCTTCCCCATCACATCACCATCATCTCTGTCTGGTTGGGTGGGGAGCAGGGGGAGGGGGAGGGGACAGTGCTCGGTGCTACGTGGAAACTGCAAGGTACAAGGTGCAGCAGCATGAAACACGGCCCCAGCAGGCGCAGGATGTTGGGGTGCCGCAGCTTCCCCATCACATCACCATCATCTCTGTCTGGTTGGGTGGGGAGCAGGGGGAGGGGGAGGGGACAGTGCTCGGTGCTACGTGGAAACTGCAAGGTACAAGGTGCAGCAGCATGAAACACGGCCCCAGCAGGCGCAGGATGTTGGGGTGCCGCAGCTTCCCCATCACATCACCATCATCTCTGTCTGGTTGGGTGGGGAGCAGGGGGAGGGGGAGGGGACAGTGCTCGGTGCTACGTGGAAACTGCAAGGTACAAGGTGCAGCAGCATGAAACACGGCCCCAGCAGGCGCAGGATGTTGGGGTGCCGCAGCTTCCCCATCACATCACCATCATCTCTGTCTGGTTGGGTGGGGAGCAGGGGGAGGGGGAGGGGACAGTGCTCGGTGCTACGTGGAAACTGCAAGGTACAAGGTGCAGCAGCATGAAACACGGCCCCAGCAGGCGCAGGATGTTGGGGTGCCGCAGCTTCCCCATCACATCACCATCATCTCTGTCTGGTTGGGTGGGGAGCAGGGGGAGGGGGAGGGGACAGTGCTCGGTGCTACGTGGAAACTGCAAGGTACAAGGTGCAGCAGCATGAAACACGGCCCCAGCAGGCGCAGGATGTTGGGGTGCCGCAGCTTCCCCATCACATCACCATCATCTCTGTCTGGTTGGGTGGGGAGCAGGGGGAGGGGGAGGGGACAGTGCTCGGTGCTACGTGGAAACTGCAAGGTACAAGGTGCAGCAGCATGAAACACGGCCCCAGCAGGCGCAGGATGTTGGGGTGCCGCAGCTTCCCCATCACATCACCATCATCTCTGTCTGGTTGGGTGGGGAGCAGGGGGAGGGGGAGGGGACAGTGCTCGGTGCTACGTGGAAACTGCAAGGTACAAGGTGCAGCAGCATGAAACACGGCCCCAGCAGGCGCAGGATGTTGGGGTGCCGCAGCTTCCCCATCACATCACCATCATCTCTGTCTGGTTGGGTGGGGAGCAGGGGGAGGGGGAGGGGACAGTGCTCGGTGCTACGTGGAAACTGCAAGGTACAAGGTGCAGCAGCATGAAACACGGCCCCAGCAGGCGCAGGATGTTGGGGTGCCGCAGCTTCCCCATCACATCACCATCATCTCTGTCTGGTTGGGTGGGGAGCAGGGGGAGGGGGAGGGGACAGTGCTCGGTGCTACGTGGAAACTGCAAGGTACAAGGTGCAGCAGCATGAAACACGGCCCCAGCAGGCGCAGGATGTTGGGGTGCCGCAGCTTCCCCATCACATCACCATCATCTCTGTCTGGTTGGGTGGGGAGCAGGGGGAGGGGGAGGGGACAGTGCTCGGTGCTACGTGGAAACTGCAAGGTACAAGGTGCAGCAGCATGAAACACGGCCCCAGCAGGCGCAGGATGTTGGGGTGCCGCAGCTTCCCCATCACATCACCATCATCTCTGTCTGGTTGGGTGGGGAGCAGGGGGAGGGGGAGGGGACAGTGCTCGGTGCTACGTGGAAACTGCAAGGTACAAGGTGCAGCAGCATGAAACACGGCCCCAGCAGGCGCAGGATGTTGGGGTGCCGCAGCTTCCCCATCACATCACCATCATCTCTGTCTGGTTGGGTGGGGAGCAGGGGGAGGGGGAGGGGACAGTGCTCGGTGCTACGTGGAAACTGCAAGGTACAAGGTGCAGCAGCATGAAACACGGCCCCAGCAGGCGCAGGATGTTGGGGTGCCGCAGCTTCCCCATCACATCACCATCATCTCTGTCTGGTTGGGTGGGGAGCAGGGGGAGGGGGAGGGGACAGTGCTCGGTGCTACGTGGAAACTGCAAGGTACAAGGTGCAGCAGCATGAAACACGGCCCCAGCAGGCGCAGGATGTTGGGGTGCCGCAGCTTCCCCATCACATCACCATCATCTCTGTCTGGTTGGGTGGGGAGCAGGGGGAGGGGGAGGGGACAGTGCTCGGTGCTACGTGGAAACTGCAAGGTACAAGGTGCAGCAGCATGAAACACGGCCCCAGCAGGCGCAGGATGTTGGGGTGCCGCAGCTTCCCCATCACATCACCATCATCTCTGTCTGGTTGGGTGGGGAGCAGGGGGAGGGGGAGGGGACAGTGCTCGGTGCTACGTGGAAACTGCAAGGTACAAGGTGCAGCAGCATGAAACACGGCCCCAGCAGGCGCAGGATGTTGGGGTGCCGCAGCTTCCCCATCACATCACCATCATCTCTGTCTGGTTGGGTGGGGAGCAGGGGGAGGGGGAGGGGACAGTGCTCGGTGCTACGTGGAAACTGCAAGGTACAAGGTGCAGCAGCATGAAACACGGCCCCAGCAGGCGCAGGATGTTGGGGTGCCGCAGCTTCCCCATCACATCACCATCATCTCTGTCTGGTTGGGTGGGGAGCAGGGGGAGGGGGAGGGGACAGTGCTCGGTGCTACGTGGAAACTGCAAGGTACAAGGTGCAGCAGCATGAAACACGGCCCCAGCAGGCGCAGGATGTTGGGGTGCCGCAGCTTCCCCATCACATCACCATCATCTCTGTCTGGTTGGGTGGGGAGCAGGGGGAGGGGGAGGGGACAGTGCTCGGTGCTACGTGGAAACTGCAAGGTACAAGGTGCAGCAGCATGAAACACGGCCCCAGCAGGCGCAGGATGTTGGGGTGCCGCAGCTTCCCCATCACATCACCATCATCTCTGTCTGGTTGGGTGGGGAGCAGGGGGAGGGGGAGGGGACAGTGCTCGGTGCTACGTGGAAACTGCAAGGTACAAGGTGCAGCAGCATGAAACACGGCCCCAGCAGGCGCAGGATGTTGGGGTGCCGCAGCTTCCCCATCACATCACCATCATCTCTGTCTGGTTGGGTGGGGAGCAGGGGGAGGGGGAGGGGACAGTGCTCGGTGCTACGTGGAAACTGCAAGGTACAAGGTGCAGCAGCATGAAACACGGCCCCAGCAGGCGCAGGATGTTGGGGTGCCGCAGCTTCCCCATCACATCACCATCATCTCTGTCTGGTTGGGTGGGGAGCAGGGGGAGGGGGAGGGGACAGTGCTCGGTGCTACGTGGAAACTGCAAGGTACAAGGTGCAGCAGCATGAAACACGGCCCCAGCAGGCGCAGGATGTTGGGGTGCCGCAGCTTCCCCATCACATCACCATCATCTCTGTCTGGTTGGGTGGGGAGCAGGGGGAGGGGGAGGGGACAGTGCTCGGTGCTACGTGGAAACTGCAAGGTACAAGGTGCAGCAGCATGAAACACGGCCCCAGCAGGCGCAGGATGTTGGGGTGCCGCAGCTTCCCCATCACATCACCATCATCTCTGTCTGGTTGGGTGGGGAGCAGGGGGAGGGGGAGGGGACAGTGCTCGGTGCTACGTGGAAACTGCAAGGTACAAGGTGCAGCAGCATGAAACACGGCCCCAGCAGGCGCAGGATGTTGGGGTGCCGCAGCTTCCCCATCACATCACCATCATCTCTGTCTGGTTGGGTGGGGAGCAGGGGGAGGGGGAGGGGACAGTGCTCGGTGCTACGTGGAAACTGCAAGGTACAAGGTGCAGCAGCATGAAACACGGCCCCAGCAGGCGCAGGATGTTGGGGTGCCGCAGCTTCCCCATCACATCACCATCATCTCTGTCTGGTTGGGTGGGGAGCAGGGGGAGGGGGAGGGGACAGTGCTCGGTGCTACGTGGAAACTGCAAGGTACAAGGTGCAGCAGCATGAAACACGGCCCCAGCAGGCGCAGGATGTTGGGGTGCCGCAGCTTCCCCATCACATCACCATCATCTCTGTCTGGTTGGGTGGGGAGCAGGGGGAGGGGGAGGGGACAGTGCTCGGTGCTACGTGGAAACTGCAAGGTACAAGGTGCAGCAGCATGAAACACGGCCCCAGCAGGCGCAGGATGTTGGGGTGCCGCAGCTTCCCCATCACATCACCATCATCTCTGTCTGGTTGGGTGGGGAGCAGGGGGAGGGGGAGGGGACAGTGCTCGGTGCTACGTGGAAACTGCAAGGTACAAGGTGCAGCAGCATGAAACACGGCCCCAGCAGGCGCAGGATGTTGGGGTGCCGCAGCTTCCCCATCACATCACCATCATCTCTGTCTGGTTGGGTGGGGAGCAGGGGGAGGGGGAGGGGACAGTGCTCGGTGCTACGTGGAAACTGCAAGGTACAAGGTGCAGCAGCATGAAACACGGCCCCAGCAGGCGCAGGATGTTGGGGTGCCGCAGCTTCCCCATCACATCACCATCATCTCTGTCTGGTTGGGTGGGGAGCAGGGGGAGGGGGAGGGGACAGTGCTCGGTGCTACGTGGAAACTGCAAGGTACAAGGTGCAGCAGCATGAAACACGGCCCCAGCAGGCGCAGGATGTTGGGGTGCCGCAGCTTCCCCATCACATCACCATCATCTCTGTCTGGTTGGGTGGGGAGCAGGGGGAGGGGGAGGGGACAGTGCTCGGTGCTACGTGGAAACTGCAAGGTACAAGGTGCAGCAGCATGAAACACGGCCCCAGCAGGCGCAGGATGTTGGGGTGCCGCAGCTTCCCCATCACATCACCATCATCTCTGTCTGGTTGGGTGGGGAGCAGGGGGAGGGGGAGGGGACAGTGCTCGGTGCTACGTGGAAACTGCAAGGTACAAGGTGCAGCAGCATGAAACACGGCCCCAGCAGGCGCAGGATGTTGGGGTGCCGCAGCTTCCCCATCACATCACCATCATCTCTGTCTGGTTGGGTGGGGAGCAGGGGGAGGGGGAGGGGACAGTGCTCGGTGCTACGTGGAAACTGCAAGGTACAAGGTGCAGCAGCATGAAACACGGCCCCAGCAGGCGCAGGATGTTGGGGTGCCGCAGCTTCCCCATCACATCACCATCATCTCTGTCTGGTTGGGTGGGGAGCAGGGGGAGGGGGAGGGGACAGTGCTCGGTGCTACGTGGAAACTGCAAGGTACAAGGTGCAGCAGCATGAAACACGGCCCCAGCAGGCGCAGGATGTTGGGGTGCCGCAGCTTCCCCATCACATCACCATCATCTCTGTCTGGTTGGGTGGGGAGCAGGGGGAGGGGGAGGGGACAGTGCTCGGTGCTACGTGGAAACTGCAAGGTACAAGGTGCAGCAGCATGAAACACGGCCCCAGCAGGCGCAGGATGTTGGGGTGCCGCAGCTTCCCCATCACATCACCATCATCTCTGTCTGGTTGGGTGGGGAGCAGGGGGAGGGGGAGGGGACAGTGCTCGGTGCTACGTGGAAACTGCAAGGTACAAGGTGCAGCAGCATGAAACACGGCCCCAGCAGGCGCAGGATGTTGGGGTGCCGCAGCTTCCCCATCACATCACCATCATCTCTGTCTGGTTGGGTGGGGAGCAGGGGGAGGGGGAGGGGACAGTGCTCGGTGCTACGTGGAAACTGCAAGGTACAAGGTGCAGCAGCATGAAACACGGCCCCAGCAGGCGCAGGATGTTGGGGTGCCGCAGCTTCCCCATCACATCACCATCATCTCTGTCTGGTTGGGTGGGGAGCAGGGGGAGGGGGAGGGGACAGTGCTCGGTGCTACGTGGAAACTGCAAGGTACAAGGTGCCGCAGCTTCCCCATCACATCACCATCATCTCTGTCTGGTTGGGTGGGATAGAGTGCATGGATGAGGAAGAAAGGGAGATGGCATTGCGATTGGTGCCCGTTGCAAGGTGCAAGTGCAAGCCACAAGGTTGCGCTTGGTACCTGTTGCAGGCAGGCACAAGGTACAGCAGCATGGGAAAAGGCACAAGGTACAGCACCATGGGAAAGGCACAAGGTACAGCACCATGGGAAAGGCACAAGGTACAGCACCATGGGAAAGGCACAAGGTACAGCAGCATGGGAAAAGGCACAAGGTACAGCAGCATGGGAAAAGTCGCTGTACCTTATGCCTGATCCCAGCACGGGCAAGATGCTGGGATGCCACATCATGGGCCGCGTCACCATCATCAAGAGCCTTACTCCCTGCATGGGCCCCACCGGCCCATCACCACACACAACATGGGCCGTGCATCCGTTCCCCCAGCCACCCACGAGCCGCGCCAGATGTCGTCTCACCATGAGTTGTTCCCGCGCGCTCAGAACCTTAGCAGCGCACTTCTTAACGCCCACAGGGACCTCCCCTTCCCCCTCAACCGCCCCTGCATGCATCATCGTCCCACACACGAGCCACACCAACTGTCATCTCACCATCAGTTGTTCCCGCGCGCTCAGAACCTTAGCGGCGCACATCTTAACGGTCACAGGAATCTCCCCTCCCCCTCGGAACACTCTCAGCAGCCACAGGGGTGGCCAGATGCCCCTTCCCCCTTACCATAAGCTGTTCCCGCGCGCTCAGAACCTTAGCGGCGCACATCTTAACGCCCGCATGGATCTCCCTTCCCCCCAACACTCCCAGCAGCCCACCCATCCTCCCTCGCACCCAACCAACCTCCCACCCACCCACCATGAGCTGTTCCCGCGCGCTCAGAACCTTAGCCGTGCGCATCTTAAGAGCCACAGGGATCTCTCCTCCCCCCAACACTCCCAGCACCCCAACCACGAACCACGACGAGAGCACAGTGCGCTCAGGTCTCACCCTCATGCCATGGGGTGCCCAGAATCCCTCACCATGAGCTGTTCTCGCGCGCTCGGCAGCGCACATTTTAACAGCCACAGGGATCTCCTCCCCTTCCCACCAACACTCTCGGCCACTCTCAGCAGCCCTTACCATGAGCTGCTCGCGTGCACTAAGCACCTTGGCAGCGCACATTTTCACAGCCACAGGGATCTCCCCTTCCCCCCAACCGCCCCTGCATGCATCATCTTTCCACAAGCCATGCCAACTGTCATCTCACCATCAGTTGTTCCCGCGCGCTCAGAACCTTAGCTGCGCACATTTTCACCGCCACAGGGATCTCCCCTCCCCCCCCTTCTCCACACTCCCAGTATCCTAACCACTCACTCACTTACCATCAGTTGTTCCCGCGCGCTGAGAACCTTCGCAGCGCACATTTTAACCGCCACCGGGATCTCCCCTTCAGAAACCGCGCTCAGATCCACGCCCAGCGACTCTGCAGCCTCTGCACCGCTCTCCACCTTGAGGAACCCCTTGTACACCGCTCCGAACCCCCCCTCGCCGAGCTTGTGCTTGAAGTTGTTGGTGGCGGCGCTGAGCTCCTCTTTCGTGTACATGGGGGGAGCTCCGTCCCCCCCCAGGGGCTTTAAGTTCGGGTGGGGCGCTGCGGGCTTTTCCTCTGCACGGAGGGGAAGCGGGGGCGGGGGAAGAGAGAGGGGGGGGGTGTGGCGGGGGAAAGTGGGGGCGGGGGGAAGTGAGGGCAAGGGGAAGTGGGGGCCACAAGAAGTGGGGGCGGGGGAGAGTGTGATTAGGTGCCGTCCCCTCGACAGGGGAATCTAGTCCGGTTGGACAGAGGAGCCCTTCTCTGCGCGCGTGGCGCGGTAAGTGGGCGGAGGGGAAGGGGGAGGGGAGGGGGAGCGGAAGAGGGGGAACGACAGGGAGCAGAGCAGTGGAGCGAAATGTGGACCGGCGGAAGGTAGAGCAAGGGGAGAAAGGCGAGAGATGAGATGAGATGCATGGTGCTTGGCGTTCCAATATCATGTTGTATTCACTTATCATGTCGATCAACTTCAGTATTAGCACCGCAGCCTTACAATGACAATGAATATATATACATAAAAGGGATAAAGAATATGCATTTTTAACAAAATAATGTATACATGAAACGGGTTGAAAAGTATAGCATGATTATAGCGAATGATAACGGGTGGTCGCACTTTTCATGCCGCTGCTGAGGTTCTTCATCATCTTTCCGAAAGACTTCATGGCGCCAACCGCTCCACCGCGACCCGAGCTGAATCTGAGTCGCTTTATAAAATTAAATAATAAAAGCAAGACCTTGAAGCAAAATTGCCCCGATTGTTTTCTGTAATGCACTTGGAGCTGAGCTTTAAGGGATGTGCTTTTTGAGAAATGTGAACTCAAAGCGTTTCAGAAACTGTAATGCAGATTGTACTCCAACGCAGCTTCTGCACTCGCCGCGCGAGACGAGCCGGGTAGGCGCTGGCACGGGAAGCTACTAAGAGAGGAAACAGATTACTCAATTGTAAGAGACTAAAATCGCCACTCTAAACTGGAATTTGTGGCTCTCAAAACTCCAGCCGCGATTGGACTGGGATTGTGGTCTGTGGTCACACTTTTCATAGAGGTGTGGTGCAGAGCAGACAGGTTGGGGGCAAGATCCCGGTTTCGAGAGAGGTTGTACACGGTACTTCGTATCAAAATAGGTTAGCCTACGGTTCCAACCAAACGGTGGCTGCCCAATAATAGTGATCACGTGCTGGATGTGTACACATCACAGTCTGTGCACCCCCCCTGTCACGGATTTCGTTTCTAGGAAACGAAATACATCGGGTCTCCACGGGAAATCCTCGAAATACTGAATAATTGGAGAATTCACCAGTGGGACCTGGCTTTTGGCGCATCAATATCTCATTCCGCAAGTCAGAAAGTTTGAGTGTTCCGGACCATTAGAATAAATGGTTTGGGGTAACCAAGACTTGATGTGCGGGACGGAGGAGACGGCTGCCCATACAGTACTGTACAGTACTCCAAACTGTGAACGTGCGTGGTCAGAATGGCTTGTTGGTGCTTTTCCCGCTAAGAGGTGTTCCACGAGCGAACGGCGACTCGGCTCTTTAGATAGCTTGTTTTTATGACACCACTGCAATTCAAAATCTTTTATAACCTCATTAGAGAAGGGAAAGGCGACAAACGTCCGACAGGCTAATGGTGCAAACGTCTGAGAAGCTAATGTTGAGTTTTTACTAATCCGGCCGCACTTTCCCTCGCTTTCTTCAGCTTCCCAACCAGTTGGTCCATTTTAGGCCGGTTCGCCCAATCGGTGCACACTGTCAAATGTTGAACATTGATATGATAGGCTGTAGTGAGTTGCACTCTAGGGGGTACAGTTTCTAGGGTTGCTTATTTGTACCCCATTCGTTTCTATTCCAAGCATTCCGTTGCTAACCACTATTGAGATGGTATCACGAGCAGGACCGTTCCTAGCCCGTTCCTAGCCTAGTGTTCACCCTCCGCGCCCTCCGCGCCTAGCTCGCGCCCTCCGCGCCCTCCGCGCTTAGCTCGCACCTCCGCACCCATTGTGCCTCCGCGCCTAAACCGCGCCACTCCACCCTCCGCGCCTAGCCCGCGCCCTGCCCCTAGCCCGCGCGACGCCCGTAGGCTCTGCCCCAGCCCGTCGCGACGCCCGTAGGCTCTGCCCCAGCCCGTCGCGACGCCCGTAGGCTCTGCCCCAGCCCGTCGCGACGCCCGTAGGCTCTGCCCCAGCCCGTCCCGACGCCCGTAGGCTCTGCCCCAGCCCGTCGCGACGCCCGTAGGCTCTGCCCCAGCCGGTCGCGACGCCCGTAGGCTCTGCCCCAGCCCGTCGCGACGCCCGTAGGCTCTGCCCCAGCCCGTCACGACGCCCGTAGGCTCTGCCCCAGCCCGTCGCGACGCCCGTAGGCTCTGCCCCAGCCCGTCGCGGCGCCCGTGCGCCCTGCCCGTTGCCCACGCGCGGCCCGTACACCCTAGCCCGTCGCCCCAGCCTTCGACCTAGCCCGTATTCTCACCGTCAAACCGCCCTCCCCGCCCATTCCCACCGTCAAAACCGCCCTCCCGCCCATTCCCACCGTCAAAACCGCCCTCCCGCCCATTCCCACCGTCAAAACCGCCCTACCCGCCCATTCCCACCGTCAAAACCGCCCTCCCCGCCCATTTCCACCGTCGCAAACTCCCCCCCCCCCGCCCCTCTCTTCCTGCTACCCACCCTTGGCACGCGCCCTAGCCCCGCCACCGCCTTGTGCGCGGGGCCCTCCCCAGCTCTACTGACACTGGTCTATCACCTAGCGGCTGGCAGCCGCTCTCTCTCGCCGCCCGCCTAGGTTCGAGCCGTTTAGCCGCTAGTATCGCGCCCCTAGCCGTTGTAGCTGGAGATCCTCCGTTTCACGCCTAGCCTAGGTCACTCAGTGCTCCCAGCCTCTCACTCCGCCGTTCTCCCTCCTGGCGCTCCGTAGGTTTCCTCCTCGTTCTTAGCTCAGCCTCTGCCGAGCTCCAGCCGCCTCTAGCATGGCATCAGTCATGGAGTCTCGTCGCCTCCGTTTCGACGCGGAGGGACGCCCGATAGAGTTTAGCACCTGGCAGCGCCAGACCACGCGCTTCCTCACCAGCCAGCGGCAGGACGGCGCCACTCTGTGGGCTCACTCTACAGGCCCCCCCGTCCCTCGCCGCCCTGCCGACCGCCCCGGAGCCGACCCCTACGGCCCAGGCGGACTACGACCGTCGGGTCCTGGCCAGGGACGTGTGGCTCTCGCGTGACGCAGCCGCCGCTCTCATTCTGTCGGAGCTTCTCCCCCCGACTGAGGCCGCCCACTTTGACCAGGTGGAGACTGCACAGGGGGTTTGGGAGGCTATTGTTGCTCGCTACTCCACCCCCTCCTCTGCCTCCCTCAGTCGCCTCCTCATGCCGTTTGTGTTTCCCGACCTAGGCTCGTTTGCGACTGTTTCCGACCTAGTGACTCACCTCCGCTCGCTTGACGCCGGTTTCCGCGCTGCCTGTACCGACGCACAGCTTCTTGTTGCTCCCCCCCCCATGTGGCTCACTGTTCACTGGTTAGTCACCCGCCTCCCTGACCGCCTTGCCACTGCCCGCGACGCGCTTCTTCAGAATCACCCCACTGAGCTCACTATCGACCTCCTAGCGACTGCTCTAGGGACCATCGAGAGCAGTCTCCTCACCGTTGCCTCCGCCACTGATGCGGTGGCCCCCCGTCTCTTTGCGGGGTGTGCCGCCCCTCAGCTTCCCACTTTCACCGCTACCCGCGCTTCTGCTGCTGTGTCAATCTCTGAGGACACTGCTGCCGTTTCTGCCGCAGACTGGCAGAAACGGGGCAAGAGTGGCAAGAAGGGCGGGAAGGGGGGAGGTGGGGGCGGTGGAGGCGGCGGTGGAGGTGGCGGTGGAGGTGGGAGCGGCGGTGGTGGCGGAGGCGGCGGCGGCGGCGGCGGTGGTGCACCAGGGGGAGGGGGCCTTGGAGGAGGTGCAGGACAGACAGGCCCACCCACAGGTGGTGGCCCGACCGGTGGGGGCGTTGCCCCCCAGCAGCAGCAGCCACAGCAGCACCAGCCACAGCAGGGACAGCAGCAGTAGCTGGGACAGCAGCAGCTGCAGGCACCGCAGCAGTTCCAGCAGTGGGGGCCCCCGCTGCAGTGGGGTCCGCAGCAGCACTGGGGTCCCCCGCCGCAGTGGGGTCCGGGAGGCCCTGGGAGCACCGGCCGCAGCAGCAGCTCTTCCAGCTGGGCCCCTCGCCCCCCTCGCCGTGACGCTGGCCCCTGCACCCACTGGTGCGTCACCGGGCCGGGCAGCCCCTGTCTCTGTGGTCGCGACGACCACTCTGCCGCGCGGTGCTTCCGCCGCCTCGACGACCTCTACCGGGCTCGTTGGGGCCCTCTGGCGGTCACGCCTCGCTGGTCTCGTCTGTTAGCCCGTAAGATTGATGTCTTTGATCTGTCCATGGACGATGCGCGTCAGCATGCTTTGTATGTTGATGCTGACTTTAGTGCTGATGGATCTGTGTGCTCGCGTGTTCGTAGGTTAGCCTGCTTGCCTCCTGCTAGTGTAGCCTTGTGCCTGTCTAGCTTAGGTGCTTGTGTTGCTGCTCTAGGTGCTTGTGTAGCGACTGGGTCTGGTGACCCCCCGGCTGAGGCCTCTCTGTCGTTCACGCTGGACTCGGGCGCGTCTCAGTGCTTCTTCCGCGACCACACGACCCTTACGCCACTCCTCACACCTGTGTCGGTGGCTCTGGCTGATCCTACCTCTGGACCAGCCGTTGCGCGTAGCTCCACCACCCTCCCGTGCCCTGTGGTCCCCTCTGGTGTCCTGCGCGGCCTCCACATCCCCTCGTTCACTCGGAACTTGGTGGGTGTTGGATACCTCCAGGACAGGGGGATCACGGTTACCTTCGTGGGGGGTGGGCGGACTGCAGTCTGTACAGACGCTACCACAGGTGCTGTTCTGGCCACGTTCACCAGGGAGCCCCGCTCCGGTCTCTACGTCCTCCACACCGAGCGTTCCCCGGTCGCGTCCTCCCCTCAGGTCATTGCGTCCCCTCCGGCCCAGGTCCCCAGTCCAGTTGCTGTGTCTAGCCAGGTAGTAGTGTCCGGTCCGGTCGCTGTGTCCAGTCCAGTCGCTGCGTCTTGCTCCTGTCGCTCTCTCACCCACCGCACCGTCCCGTGGCACCACCGCCTTGGCCACCCGTCGCTCCCTCGCCTACGTGGCATGCTCAGTCAGGGACTTGTCTCAGGTCTCCCACGCACCTTCCCGTCGCTCCCTCTCTCGCCTGCCCCTCCTTGCTCTCCGTGCGTCGCCGGTCGCTTACGCGCCACTCCCCACTCCTCCTCCCTTCGTCCGGCCACCGCTCCCTTCGAGACTCTCCACTTGGACGTCTGGGGCCCTGCCCCGACGCAGGGGTCTGGGAGGGAGCGTTACTTTCTGGTGGTCGTCGACGACTTCTCCAGGTACACCACAGTGTTCCCTCTTGCGAAGAAGTCCGATGTGACTGCTACGCTGATCAGGTGGCTTCTAGCCACTGAGGGCACTCGTGGTCGTCGAGTCAGTTGTCTCCACTCCGACCGTGGGGGCGAGTTTCGCTCCGGCATTCTCGGCGGATTCTGCGGCGAACAGGGCATCACCCAGTCCTGGACGCTGCGAGAGTCCCCACAGCAGAATGAGGTTGATGAGCGCCGCATAGGCTTGGTCATGGACATCGCCCGCACGTCCATGATCCATGCCCGTGCGCCCCATTTTCTGTGGCCCCACGCGGTTCGCTACGCCGCACACCAGCTGAACCTCCAGCCGCGTGTCTCGCGGCCCGAGGTTTCACCGACCAGTCTTTGGACTGGTTCCCCTGGTGTCGGGTCGGCCTTTCGAGTCTGGGGCTGCCTTGCACTTGTTCGCGACACCTCCGCGGACAAGCTCTCGGCACGCGCCGTCCCCTGTGTCTTCCTTGGTTTCCCAGTGGACTCTGCCGACTGGTCCTTTTACCACCCTCCCCTCCACCAGTTCCTAGACTCCCGTGACGTCCGGTTTGACGAGTCCGTGTCCTACTACACCCGGTACCCCTGTCGAGGTCTCCCGGTACCCCCTCCCCCTCTTTTCCTCGCACCCTCTCCTCCTCCTGCTCCCGCTCCTCCGGTACCCCCGCCCCCCCCTGGTCCTGCCCTGTCTGGTGTGTCCCACGTTACCCCTCTACCCTCGGTCGCGCGTCAGGTAGCGTCTCCCTCCCCGCAGTCCTCCTCACAGTCCCCTCAGCAGCCTTCGGCACTTCCGCGACAGGTTACTGTGGACTCGGTTGGTGTTGGAGCTGGAGGTGCAGTCACTGGCGGTGCTCGGTCTGGGGGTACTCGGTCGCGGGGTGCTGGAGCTGGAGGTGCTGGCGCAGGTGGCGCTAGCTCTGGGGGTGCTGGAGCTGGAGGTGCTGGCGCAGGTGGCGCTAGCTCTGGGGGTGCAGGAGCTGGAGGTGCTGGCACTGGCGGTGCTAGTTCTGGGGGTGCTGGAGTTGGAGGTCCGGGCACTGGAGGTGCTGGTTCTGGGGGTGCTGAGTCTGAGGAGTCTGACCCTGGTTCTGCGGAGTCCACTCCGCCTCCCCACCGCCACGACACACGACTCCAGGCTGCCCGCCGGCGTGAGCGTGAGGAGCAGGAGCGGTTGGAGAGGGAGCGGCAGGAGCTGCGGGTGCTGGACCTTCTGGAGCAGCAGCGGCAGCAGCAGCAGCAGCCGCGGCAGCAGCCGCAGCCGCAGCAGCCGCAGCAGCAGCAGCCGCAGCCGCAGCCCCCGCCGCAGCAGCAGCAGTCGCAGCCGCCACCGCAGCTTCCTCTGGAGCGGCGGTTGTTCCCACCTGTGAGTGGCCTGCGGGCCCTTGGTTTTTCCTCCTCTCCTCCTGTCCGCTCCCAGTCTCCTCCTGTGTTTGTTCCCCCGTTGCCTCCTCCTGACGACCGTCCGGCGGTCTGGTCTTCTCCTCCTCCCCAGTCTCCTCCTCCTTCGGTCCGTCGCGACTTGGTCACTCGTTGTCCTCCGCGTGCTCGTCACTCGTCCCCTGTTACTGACCTCCACACTGCCCTCCTTTGTACGTCTCGTCGTCGTTCTCCTTCTCCTGTGTCCGTTCTCCCGTCTCCTCCTCCGTCCTCTCTCCCAGCCCTCCCCACTCCTATCACTGAATACTACCGCACTGTTCGTCCTGTTGCCGCACGTGTCCTCGCCACTCTTGTCACCGACTCTCGTTTCCCTCCGTCGTCGGTCTCTGCTCTTACTGCCGCTGTCGCTGAGTTTGCTGCCGCCAGCCGCCTTGACTACGCCACCCGTGTGGTGCCAGCTCCTCCCTACCGTCCTCTGTCCGTCGGGGGTGGGTTTGCCCTTGGCTGTGACGTCCTAGAGGACAGAGAGTCTGAGCTGGAGTACTGGGCAGCCGCTTCTCCCTCTGTGTGTGCCATGCTGCTCTCCCCTGAGGGAGACCCCGACGCCCTTGACATACCGACTCCTCGCAGTTACCGCGAGGCAATGTCAGGGGCGTGGGCCTCTCAGTGGAAAGCGGCTATGGACTCAGAGTTGGCGTCTTGGAGATCCACAGGCACCTACGTCGACGCAGTTCCCCCTCCCAGGACGAACGTAGTCGATGGCATGTGGCTCTTCAAGGTGAAGCGGCCGCCTGGAGCACCGCCGGTGTTCAAGGCGCGCTACGTGGCTAGGGGCTTCAGTCAGCGTGAGGGAGTTGACTTCTTCCAGACCTTCGCCCCGACCCCGAAGATGACTACTCTTCGGGTGTTACTCCACATAGCAGCGCAGCGAGACTACGAGCTGCACTCCCTCGACTTCTCCACTGCGTTCCTCCAGGGCCGACTGCACGAGGAGATCTGGCTGCGCCGTCCTCCTGGCTTCACTGACACCTTCCCACCTGGGACCCAGTGGAGCCTGAGGCGACCAGTCTACGGTCTCCGCCAGTCGCCCCGTGAGTGGCACGACACTCTTCGCTCCACGCTTCGTGACCTTGGGTTCAGCCCTTCCTCCGCCGACCCGTCGCTGTTTGTTCGAGCGGGTTCTACTCCTTTCTTTATCCTTGTCTACGTCGACGACTTGGTGTTTGCTACAGCAGACAGGGCAGCCCTGGCTCAGGTGAAGTCCGAACTGCAGAAGAGACACAAGTGCACTGACCTGGGTGAGCTGCAGCGTTACCTTGGCTTGCAGATCACCCGGGACAGAGCCGCTCGCACCATCACACTGACGCAGTCACACATGGTGCAGCAGGTCCTTCGGCGGTTCGACTTCCAGTTCTCCACCACTCAGCCCACTCCTCTTGCTGTTGACCACAGACTCACGGGCCCCTTTCCTGACGAGCCCTTTGAGTCCAGTGGACCCTACGCAGAGCTGGTGGGCTGCCTCATGTACCTGATGACTTGTACTCGACCGGACCTCGCCTTTCCCCTCAGCATCCTTTCTCGCTTTTTTGCGACTGGGAGACACCGCCCTGTCCACTGGACAGCTGCTGTGAGGGTGGCGAAGTACCTGGCGACTACATCAGGCATGGGGCTTGTGCTTGGAGGGACTCGGCCAGTGGCGTTGACTGGTCACTGTGACTCTTCCTACGCTGACGACGTGGAGACTCAGCGCTCGACTCAGGGTTACTGCTTCAGTCTGGGAGCTGGTGCTGTGTCGTGGAGGTCTACACGGTCGTCGTCTGTGGCTACTTCCAGTGCAGAGGCAGAGATCTACGCGGGTGCCATGGCGGCACAGGAGCTTCGCTGGTTGACCTTCTTGCTCACCGACCTTGGTGAGCGGCCTCGCTCTGCACCGACCTTGTACGCTGACAACAAGGCCATGATCCTCCTGTGTCGAGAGCCTCGACTGGAGAGCAGAGTGAAGCATATTGACGTGAGGTACTTCCTCCTGCGAGAGCTGCAGCGACGCGGCCAGGCACGCCTGGACTTTGTGGCCTCAGAGGCCAACACTGCAGACGTCTTCACCAAGGCCTTGGCGCTTGGTGACCACCACAGGTTCTGTGTGCAGTTGGGGCTAGTTGAGGTAGGCCCTCGGTTGCTGTAGTCCTGTTGCTTGCTCTGCTTGTTGTGCCTTGTATTTATATCCTAGTGAACTCTTGAACTGGCCTTGTGGCCGCTTGCTTGCGCTCGGAATTTGTGTGGTGTCCTTGAGATCCACCCTGAGCTTGTCTTGGTTCTTGCTTTGACTGGTCTTGTGACCGTTTGTTCACCTTGCTTGCTTTGATGCCCCTCACTTAACCTATGGGGGTGTGTCAAATGTTGAACATTGATATGATAGGCTGTAGTGAGTTGCACTCTAGGGGGTACAGTTTCTAGGGTTGCTTATTTGTACCCCATTCGTTTCTATTCCAAGCATTCCGTTGCTAACCACTCTTGAGACACACAGCCAACCGGAAAATCTTTAGCACCAACATTACATGCTCCTCAGACCATTGCCCCGCCATGGTCTTGTCCATCACCACCCTCGTAAGCTTCTCTAGCGGTATAAGGCGCTCTTCTGCTGCCACTCTTATCGCCTTAAAGCCGTTCTCCTCCGCACATTCGCCTGACATGAGCTCTAGGAGGAAGATGCCAAAGGCATATGTGTCACAATGGTTGGTGAGGAACCCTGGGATTGACGTAGGGGGGAACAAGTAGGCAATTACATCCTTGTGAAACAGGTTTTTGAATCGTGTAACTAGAGATTTTCCCCTTGTGTTACGAGTCAGTCAACACACACATCGTTCCACAAGACTGGGACAAAAAAAATGCAGCACAGCAACGCCCACATACAAGCCATGCTCAGTCATGACTGCAAACCTGAGTGGTGAAACAGCTGGGTTTGAGACAACGAGCTGCTTTTGAGTCGACTGGACAGCAGTAATCTCCGACACGAACGGCAGAACCCACCAATGCAGAAGCTCTTGTGAGGCGCCTCAAAACCCAGACAAGTGCGGCAGCACGCACCAGTGGAGAAGTAGTTGGGGTCGATGTACCCCTGAGAGCCGCCCACTCGCGTCGTGACATGTGTCTTCCAGTCGTCTATCAGCCTCGCCATTCCAAAGTCCGCCACCTTGGGAACCATGCCCTGGCAGGGGCCGCAAGGGCAGGAGCAGAGGGGGGTGAAGGGGGCGAGCAGGGGTAGTGAGGCATGAGCAGGAAGAGCAGAAACGGTTGTCCTCCAGTCGTCTACCAGCCGTGCCATTCCAAAGTCCGCCACCTTGGGAACCATGCCCTGGCAGGGTAGCGGAGGCAGTTAGGGGCGAGCAGGGAGGGCAGGAAGGGTTTATGGATGAACACGCTAAGGTGGGTCAGAAACCCCCATCCATGGCCACAACTGCATTGCTGTTACTTTAAACTTCCACTTCCGCCACTCTCCACCACACTCCACCACACTTCACCACCGCAGGTTCACCCACCTCTGCCTGCAGTACAATAGCAGACTTGAAGTCGCGGTGAACGTACCCCTTGCTGTGAATGAATACCAGCGCCTCATGCCCGCGCCTGCCACTACAGCCATGCCCTACATTCATACCACCACTGCCACGCCACTACAACCTACTACAGTCATACCTCTGCCAGCAGCACATTGATAGCCTTGAAGTCGCGGTGAATGTAACCCTTGCTGTGAATGAACACCAGCGCCTCGTGAACGTGCTTGCCACTACAGTCATACCCGCACTACAGCTCCACACCAGTCACATTCTACACCCACACGCACCTCTGCCAGTAACACATTCGCGGCCTTGAAGTCGCGGTGAATGTAACCCTTGCTGTGAATGAACACCAGTGCCTCGCCAACTTGCTCCGCCAGCACCACACACTGCACCTTGCAGCCACACCACTACAGTCACACCACAACCTACACGCACCTCTGCCAGCAGCACATTTGCAGCCTTGAAGTCCCGGTGAATGTAACCCTTGCTGTGAATGAACACCAGTGCCTCGCCAACTTGCTCCGCCAGCACCATCCTAGCTGTCCAGTCAAACGAGTCCGCCCTGTTGCGCACTGCAGGTGGAGGGGGGGAGAGAAGGGATGGCAGAGAGAGTCTTGAGTCAGAGACGTGCCTTCGCTGCTCCGCCCTGCTCCGCCAGCCAGCACCATCCTGGCCGTCCAGTCAAACGAGTCCGCCCTGTTGCGCACTGCAGGACGGGGGAGAAGGCAGGTGTGTGGAAAGGCGAACAAAAGGATTGCTTCAGCATCCGTTCATCTGCTCCCCCACCTGCTCCGCCAGCCAGCACCATCCTGGCCGTCCAATCAAACGAGTCCGCCCTGTTGCGCACAGCAGCTGGTGGTGGGGGAGAGAGAGGAGTGGGCAGGCATGTGGAACAAGGAACGTGCATAGTGCTTCCCTCGCCTCTCACACCAGCAGCAGGTCAACGTCCGCGTTGGGCACAAACTCAGACACCATGGCGAGCGTTTCTCCCTAGCGCGCATAGTGCTTTGCTCTCGTCTGTCACAAATCTCACCTCCCACTATACTCACCTCGCTCCAGCAGCAGGTCAACATCCGCGTTGGGCACAAACTCAGACACCATGGCGAGCGTTTCTCCCTAGCGCGCATAGTGCTTTGCTCTCGTCTGTCACAAATCTCACCTCCCACTATACTCACCTCGCTCCAGCAGCAGGTCAACATCCGCGTTGGGCACAAACTCAGACACCATGGCGAGCGTTTCTCCCAGAGTGGCCATCCCCAGCAGCCTGAGGATGTACGGATGCTGCACTGCCGTCATCACCATCACCTCCGTCTGAGGGATGGGAAGGGGTGGGAAGGGGTGGAATGGAATGGGAAGGGATGAAATGCACTGGGGGTTTGAGTCACCTTCTGAAGCAGGCTTGAGGGTCTCTCCCAGCGTCTCCCCCAATTTGGCCGCCCCCAGCAGCCTGAGGATGTACGGATGCTGCACCGCTGTCATCACCATCACCTCGGTCTGAGGGGTGGGACGGAATGGGAAGGGATGCAATGCGGTGGTGTGGGGTGGGGTTGGAGTCAACCCGTGAAGCAGGCTTCAGTGACCGACTGTCCCCAGCAGCCTGAGGATGTACGGATGCTGCACTGCTGTCATCACCGTCACCTCTGTCTGTGGGATGGGAAAGAATGGGATAAGGTGAGGTGGGTGGGGGTTCGAGTCACCTTTTGAAGCACGCTTGAGTGGCCACCGCCAGCAGACTCAGGACTGCACTGCATTGCAATGCACTGCACTGCACTGCACTGCACTGCACTGCACTGCACTCACCATGAGCTGCTCCCTGCCACTGTCCTTCATCCCACTCGTGCACATCTTCACAGATACAACATTCCCCTCCCCTCTTCCCCACCACCAGCACTCCCGCTGCTCCCACAACCATGATCACCTCACCGCACCGCACCACACCGGTCACCACCGCTCAGCTCAGCACCGCATTGCACTCACCATTAGCTCCTCTCTGCCGCTGTCTTTGATCCCACTCGTGCACATCTTCACAGCCACCGGAACCAGCACCCTCCCCACCCACCACCAGCGCTCACCACCGCTCATCACCGCACCAAACTCACCATGAGCTGCTCCCTGCCGCTGTCCTTGATCCCACTCGTGCACATCTTCACAGCCACTGGAACCAGCACCACCCCTCCCTCTCCCTGCTTTCCACCTGCTCCACCCTCCAACGCACCCCACCGCTTACCACCGCTCATCACCGCATTGTACTCACCATGAGCTGCTCCCTGCCGCTGTCTTTGATCCCACTCGTGCACATCTTCACAGCCACCGAAATCCGCCCCCCTCTCCCCCACCACCAGCTCTCCCACTACTCCCACACCCATGATCACCTCACCGCACCACACCGCACCACAGCGCTCACCACCGCTCAGCACCGCATTGCACTCACCATGAGCTGCTCTCTGCCGCTGTCTTTGATCCCACTCGTGCACATCTTCACAGCCACCGGAACCAGCACCTCCCCTCCCTCTCCCCCCTCTCCACCTGCTCCACCCTCCCCCCCACCACCAGCGCTCCCACTATTCCCAACACCGCCACTCTTCCCATTGCTGCTGCTGCCGCCAATGCAGCTACTACTGTCACCCCGAAGGTACCCTTTATAGACAGTCCCGAAACCCCCTTCGCCGATTTTCTGCGTCCAATTGCTCGTGGCAGCGGTAAGCTCTTCCCGGGTGTAGTGTGGCAGTGCCCCGTCCGGCCCCACTGGCTTCATGAGGGGATACGCCCCTGCGGATGGCTTCTTCTCTGTAATGGGACACGGGGAAGGACGAGGAGGGACACGGTGAGTCGTAGCAGCAGAGAGCTCTTCCCGGGTGTAGTGAGCAGGGCCCCGTCTGGCCCCACGGGCTTCATAAGCGGATACGCCCCTGCGGATGGCTTCTTCCCTGAAAACGGGGGACCGACGGACGACGGGAAGGAAGAGCACGAGGAGGGACGGGGTGAGACGTGGTAGGGGCTGTGTCAAGCTCTCCTGCAGTGAGGCAGGGCTCCGTCCGGCCCCTCGGACTGCATAAGGGGATACGCCCCTGGGGTCGGCTTTCTCATACCACTCACTCTCACACCGCTCACTCTCACACTGCTCACTCTCACACCGCTCACTCTCACACCACTCACTCTCACACCACTCACTCTCACTCTCACACCACTCACCCTCACACCACTCACTCTCACACCACTCCCTCTCACACCACTCACTCTCACGCACTCACATCACTCACAGAACCATTCACTCTCACCACCCACTCTCACCCACTTACTCGCACCCACTCACTTTCACCAACCCACCCACTCACTATTCACTAGCAGCACTCACTCTGCACGAATCGTTTGAACGCTCCACGGAACGACATGCCGTCCAAGCACATCAAACGTGAATCTCGGAACCGCGAAGTACCGGTCAGAACCGTAGCCCTACAACGCCAGCTCGAAATACGTCCCTGACGTGCCACGTGGCTCTCCTGGCGTCGACCAGCCGCTGGAGCACATGCGTCAACCAATGGTACCGCGAAGAACCGGTCAGGACCAAGACTGAACCACTACCGCCGTAAACAAGAGTATCACCGTGATAGGCCTACTGATAAGGGAGGTCAGTCGTGATCGAGATGCCGGCCGTTAGTGAAATGAGGCTCTGGCTGGCCTCGGCAATGAAACGATGCAGTTGCCGAGATGGATGCTAAAGCACATGCAATGACTTTTTAGGCGCCTCAAAAGCAGCTGTGAGTGAAACGAGGCTCTGGCCTCGGCAATGAAACGATGCAGATGCCGAGTTGGATGCTAAAGCACGTGCGATGAGAACGACAGAAATGTGAACGGCCCCGAACCGAAATCACGATACGGTTTCTCGTTCTCGCTTGCTAAGCAGGATGCATCTCCACTCTTTACTCACGAAGCAGCGCATACGGCAAACGGGTACTTGTGAAAGAAGCGGGAAAACTTGTTGGAACTAATGTCAATGATGTCAAAGTCAGAATTTGACGGGACGGAACTTTGCATTATAGACCTGCTGTGGCTTGACGGAAAACGTGTCAAAAGAAAAGCATCTGCGCTCTTTCGTGTGGCGGATGAAATCTGAAGACCAATAAACCAAGTCAGCGTTCCACGGCAGCTGTCTGGGATGGTGCCTTTAAAAGGTGCTTCGTTTGTAGAGGGCTGTTAGCTAACGCGGGAATAGCATAAATTGTAAGAAACCACATGTTAGCTAATCGCCTTTTTCTACGACGAGCCTATCAGAAACAGGTTTACGGTTATGGTCACGCAAAGCCTCCCCCATCCCAGCCTCCACAAGTGCTTCCCACCCTGCCCATACCCCCCCTGAAGCGGTTGTTTTCTCAGAAGCAGGATCCTACGGCAGTCATAACTCGGATGGTTTGTACTCGACGGCTGATACTGTACGATGTGGAGGCACGCCACTCTCTAGGTTCCGCGACATTTGCTGTAAATCCCTTGTTCCCCCGGTTCCCCCGCTACTCCCCCCATCTTCCCCGGCCTCCCTCAACCACACCCACTCACCCCCACTCCCCCTTGGCCAGCCTTGATCCGAGTGTGTGCTTGCGATGAGCCCCCGAATCCCCGATTCTACCTCCCCGCCCCCCCTTCCGCTCTCCCTCCCCCTCCGCGCTTGTTCCCTTCGGCGCATTTGCCCTTGAAATCTTCGGCTCGTTCTTGTACAGTTCAGTGCGGTGCCGCTGCACAAATGTGTTGTACGTACGAATCAACCAACCTTGAGAATGTCGAGACTTGGGTGGACCAGAGATTAGTTGTATTGTCCGTGATCCGAAGATAAGCTCGATGTCATTCTGATGCTTGATTCCGTCGACCATCACGTAGCGCAATTATGGCGATACCTAGACGGAATCGACGCCGCTCAGCAGGCGCTGCGGGCCAGGGTCATGGCGAGCGATCGTTTCAAATCAGCCACGTGGCACGGAGCAAGCGATTTTGGCTGATCTGCATCTCGCTAGTGGCGGGATATAACCTGCTCGTCATGAACCTCGCAGGTCGAACGCTCGCTTTAAGTTTCATGCATGCTTCTACTCTATTAGCTGATCGCGACTCGCCTTTTAGCTGTTTTTTTCGACCCATATCTTCGGATGAAGCTACCGTATATCAGGATCTGTCGCCAAACCGGCCAGATAAGATTGAATAAGAGTAGCGAACAGTAGCATAACGTCGCAAGACCGTTTCCGTCTCATCATCACACTTCTGTCTAAACCTTTCTCACACCATTTCCGCCCCACTTTTTCGCACCCCAAGTTAATCCATGGCGAATTGCCTCTAATTGCAAACCGTCCCTCCTGTGCCTTTTCCTGAGTAAAGATTTGAAATTGGGCCTGGATGAAGCCAAAGCCTTCTTATATGTTGCGTCTTTAAATTCTATAACGTCGATCCTGACCCGCTTGTTTCACCCCTCTCAACCCCTCCATTTCTATCAGGTCGGGAGGTGGACAGCCCCCCTCTCCGCGTGTGGTCCTTCCTACTGGGAGGCAGTGACGTGGAGCGCGTACCTGGCGACCCCGCATTGGCTGACGAGCCCACCGCTGACGTCACCACCAAAGCTCTGTACGACGAGATCGCGTTCGAAGATCTTCCAGGAGGCGTGTGGACGCAGGTGGGTGGTGGGTGGGTTAAGTATGCAGATTTGGGTCCTTTTATTGGCTTCAGGTGGGTGGGTGGGAGGCGTGTGGACGCAGGTGGGTGGGTGAGCAGCTGGGTATGCATATTTGAGAGTCTTTGTATTGGCCTCAGGTGGGTGTGTGCAGCGCTGAGTCGTTCTATTGCGTGTCTAGTGGTTGTGCTTTTTTCTGGTAGGGGGGGAGAAGGAAGGTGGTTGTAAGCGTGATGTGTCCACTTTCCGTATACCTCCTTCACTTCTTCAATTCAGGCAGGCCAGGCCATGGATGTATGCAAAATATGAGCAAAGCATCTGTCTGTGAGTGACCTGTATGTGTCGTTCGTGTTACAGGGCTTTCCCCTGGAGTACACGGGGCATGAGTGGGACGAGGAGCCGTTGCGAGTGCTGGTGGTGCCGCATTCCCACAACGATCCCGGGTGGTTGTTGAGGCGCTCAAAACCTGTCTGTCTGTGTCGCTTCATTGGTTTTCCCACAGGGTTTCCCTCTTGAGTATACGGGGCACGAGTGGGACGAGGAGCCGTTGCGAGTGCTGGTGGTGCCACACTCCCACAACGACCCTGGCTGGCTGGAGACGGTGGAGGAGTATTACAGGTCGAGCACACGTGGCATCATTGACACCATCGTCAATGTGCTCTCCGAGGTGTGCTTATAACGAGTATTCTCTATGTCAGTGTGCTTGTAACGAGGATGTTATTGTGATTCAGTTCAGCTCTGGTGCAGGAAGTAAGCCTGGTTGTTGTTGCCTGTGCCTGGACTAGTTACCCCCCCCCTTCCCTAAAGCTGCCATCTTTTCTCGCTCCCTGTTGACTCTCATCCCCTTTAGAAACCGACTCGCAAGTTCATATGGGAGGAGATGTCGTACCTGTCGCGGTGGTGGATGGATGCGAGTGAGGAGATGAAGGGCAAGCTCAAGGCGCTGCTGCAGAACGGACAGCTCGAGATTGTGGGCGGCGGATGGGTCATGAACGATGAGGTGCGGTGGGGATGGGTCATGAACGATGAGGGGAGGTGGATGGAATTGGATGGATGATGAGCGACGAGGTGGGGTGGGCATGGGATGGGTCATGCTGCTCTTGAACTTCTGACAATTCTGAAAAGTCACTTTTGAGAATTCTCAAAGGTGAGATTGGATGGATCATGAACTTTCTAACTGTACATGCCCTGTGCCCCTTGCCGCATGCCCCATGCCCCATGTCCCATGCCTCATACCCCATCTCCCATGCCCTGTGCCCCTTGCCCCAAGGCCCATGTCCCATGCCCCATGCCCCATACCCCATGGTTCATACCATGCTCAATGAGCCATGGCTCATGCCCCATATCCTATTCCCAGTATGCAACCTGCGTGGCATCCCTATCTGTCCGCGTCCGTGTGTGTGTGTGTGTGTGCGTGTGTCTGTGCAGGCAAACTCTCACTACTTTGCCATCCTCGAGCAGGTATCTTCCCTCTCCTCCCCTCCCTTCCCCTTCCTTTGCTTCCCCCTTTTCTTCCGTCCCTTCCCTTCCCTTCCCTTTCCTTCCCACCCCTCCCCTCCCCTTCCTCCTTGCTGTTCCTCAAGCCCACCCAGCAATCCCTTCTCACCATGCCACACTCCGTTTTCTCCTTGATGCATCATCGTTTTTTTTTCCTATGCTCATGCATTTTCCATCTCAAAACCAGTGTTACCCTCTCCAACCACCCTGGCTTTCTCTCTCGACAACCTTGCATGCTACCTTCACGCCACCAACCCCACTACCCTGACCCCTTCCCATTTACCCCCTCCCACCTCCCCCACCCCGTCCCCCACTTCCCCCCTTCCCCTCCTCCTTCCTCCCCCCCACCCCCCCAGATAACGGAGGGCAACACGTGGCTGCACGATGCAGTGGGGGTGGTACCCACCAATTCATGGTCCATCGACCCATTCGGCTACAGCGCCACCATGCCCTACCTGCTGCACCAATCCGGCTTCCACAACATGCTCATTCAGCGCGTGCACTACGAGGTCAAGAAGGTCTTAGCTAAGCGCCGGCACTTAGAGTTCTACTGGCGCCAGGCGTGGGATAAGAGCGGCGGGAAGGCGCCACTGGGGGCGGGAGCGGGGGCAGGGAGGGAACAGGGGAGTGGGGAAGCAGGGGTGGGTGATCAGTCAGGAGAAGCAGCAGCAGCAGCAGCAGCAGCAGCAGCAGCAGCAGCAGCAGCAGCAGCAGCAGCAGAGGGTGCAGCAGAAGCAGGAGCAGGAGCAGCGGGGAAGACAGACATTTTGTGTCACATGATGCCATTCTACTCGTACGACATCCCACACACTTGTGGGCCCGACCCCTCTGTGTGCTGCCAGTTTGACTTTGCACGCACGGCTACCGGCGAGCACTCCTGCCCCTGGGGCATGCCTGCTGTGGACATCACACCTCAGAACGTGGCAGAGAGGGCAGCGACCATCCTGGACCAGGTGAGGTTCCTCCTTGTGTCTGTCCGTCCGCCTGTCCATCTGACTGCCCCTCTGTGTGTTGCCAGTTTGACTGTGTGCGCTTGTTGGGTGGCGAGGCGAGCATTCCTGCCCCTGGGGCACCCCTGCTGTGGATATCACACCTCAGAACGTCGCAGAGAGGGCAGCGACCATCCTTAACCAGGTGAGCCCCCCTTGTCAGTTTAGGCCCGTCTGTCTGTCCGTTCCGTCTGACTCTCTGATTCCTTCATCACTCCAACGTGGTGCTCGTCCCATTGGGGACGACTTGCACTGCCCCATCCCGCCCACCTTGAACAAGGCCCATTGGCAGCTCTATACCTCCTACCTTCCCCCTCCCGTCACCTACCCCCCACCTTGCCTTTCTCCTCCTCGTGCCGCCCCCAACCTTCCCTGACCCCCACCCTTATTCACACCCGCCCACCCTTCTCTGCCTGCCTCCCACCAGTGGCGCAAGAAGGCTATGCTGTATCGCACCAAGGTGGTGCTGGCTGGAAGAGAAGTTGGCAAACACTATGCAGGAACGTGACAAAGTCCTTGAACTAACCAAGAAAGTTGCCAGTTTGGAAGAGAAGTTGGCCAACAAGGATTTCACCATGGAGCTCACAGATATAAAGAAATCCACGTGCCTTTTGAGGTCGTTGCTGGCCAAGTGGTTCTTTATATCTGTGAGCTCCATGGTGAAATCCTTGTTGGCCAACTTCTCTTCCAGACTGGCAACTTTCTTGGTTAGTTCAAGACTTTGTCACGTTCCTGCATAGCTCAAGGACGATTTCCGCTACCCAACCATGCGGGAGGCACACAGCCAGCTCCCATAAGCTCCCATCCCCCCATCCCCTCTGCCTGTGTTCCACCAGTGGCGCAAGAAGGCCCTCCTCTATCGCTCCAAGGTGGTGCTCGTTCCGCTGGGCGACGATTTCCGCTACCCCACCATGAGAGAAATCCACGCCCAGTTCACCAACTACGAGCGCCTTTTGGACCACCTCAACACCTACTCCCGTCAACTGTTTTTTCCTCTCCGTCTTTCCCCTGCCCCAACTCTTCCCCTCCCCCCGCCTTCCCCCCACCCACCCACCACCTCTGCTTCCCCTCAGTGGCGCAAGAAATCCCTTCTTTATCGCCCCAAGGTGGTGCTGGTCCCTCTGGGCGACGATTTCCGCTACCCCACCATGAGGGAGGCCCACGCCCAGTTCACCAACTACGAGCGCCTCTTTGACCACCTCAACTCCACTTCACTTCAACTGCTGTTTTTTCCCCTTCCCCACCCCCTGCTGCGCACATGCAGTGGCGCAAGAAGTCTCTCCTCTATCGCTCCAAAGTGGTGCTGGTACCGCTGGGCGACGACTTCCGGTACCCCACGATGAGGGAGGCGCACGCCCAGTTCACCAACTACGAGCGCCTCTTTGACCACCTCAACAGCCAACCACACCTCCGAGTAAACGCCAGCTTCGGCACCCTCGGGGATTACTTCAATGCTGTCCGAGAGGCCGCAGTTAAAGACGCTACTCTTCATAGCAAGGGCGCTGGTAACCAGGCTAGTGCTGTTAACGAGGGTACTGCTGTTAACGAGGCGGCTCTTAATGGAGCCCAGCAGGACCTGCCATCCGAGCACCCGGTGTTCACCTCTCACGAACTCCCCTCCGAGCCCACCACCATCTCCACCCGCAACCTTCTCTCCACACACCCCTCCACACACCCCTCCTTCCTCCCCGCCTCTCACCCCTCCGCTCTCGCTGCCCACCTCTACTCCCTCCCCCCCACGTTCCGCCCGAACCTCCCCTCTCTCTCTGGCGATTTCTTCACATACGCGGACCGAGAGAAAGACTACTGGAGCGGGTACTTCACCTCGCGCCCCTTCTGGAAGGCTGTAGACCGCGTGCTTGAGTCTGCTGTACGAGCAGCTGATATTCTCTTTGCTCTGACTTGGTCGCAGCTGCAGGCGAGGGGTGGTGGGGGAACGGGTGGGCTGATGGCGCGGATGATGGGGGGAAAGAGTGGGGGAGGGGGGAGTGGGGGAACAGGGGAGGTGGGGGAGGTGATGGAAAGATTGGCGGAGCAGGCGGAGTGGATGGGGAAGGGAGCGGGGAAGGGTGGGAGGGCGGTGGGGGGAGGGCAGCATGGGGAGGACAACTTCAGGCATCTGCTGTTCCCGCTCAAGTGAGTGCTCACTTGAAATCTGATTGTTTTTCAGTCGACTCAGAATCGATTGAGATGCAATGTAGGCACGTCTCCAGTAGCAAGCGTCTTTGGCAGCAGCAAGCAACCAACCCTGCTCTTTCCCATTCTGCCCCTCTGGCTTGCAGCTTTGCAGAGCGGCTGGTGCGAGCGCGGCGCAACCTGGCGCTGTTTCAACACCACGACGGCATCACAGGCACGGCGCGGGACCCTGTGGTGGTGGACTATGGGCTGCGCATGCACACCGCTCTCAATGACCTCAATGTACGTGTTATAGGAGCACAGGCAAGTGCCCTGTTCCCAGCTTCTTCTTTCCAGGCTGGGACCCCATGGTGGTGGACTATGGGCTGCGCATGCACACCGCTCTCAATGACCTCAATGTACGTGTTATAGGAGCACAGGCAAGTGCCCTGTTCCCAGCTTCTTCTTTCCAGGCTGGGACCCCATGGTGGTGGACTATGGGCTGCGCATGCACACCGCTCTCAATGACCTCAATGTACGTGTTATAGGAGCACAGGCAAGTGCCCTGTTCCCAGCTTCTTCTTTCCAGGCAGGGACCCCGTGGTGGTGGACTAAGGGCTGCGCATGCACACCGCCCTTAATGACCTCAATGAACGTGCCCCTTGATAGGCATTGGGAGCACTGGGAGCACTGGGGCATGGGCAAGTGCCCTGTTCCATTCCAGGCTGTGACCCCGTGGTGGTGGACTAGGGATGAGCATGGAAACGAGCACCACGTTCGAGGCGAACCGAACATGTTTTTTTTTTTTGGCTAAAAATGTTCGGGGCGAACGTGTTCGGTGTTCGCCCGAACACGTTCGGTGTTCGCCCCGCTACTGCTGCCGAGCCGCGTCGAACACGAACGCGTTCGTGTTCGTTTCGGGGCAAAAACGAACACGAATGTGTTCGACGCGACTGTCCCGGCGGGCTACAATTTACGTTGCGGGACATTCTGTTTGAGCTCAAATTTGAGCTCAAACTTAGTCGCGCTATTCAGCAGCAGCCATTACTACCACGCCCCCCACACATCACGCCGTTATCACCTCATTAGGACTTAGCGTAATTAAGTAGTTACCTTAGGTTAGTCTGTCTAGACTTGGGTATGTGAGATTTAGGTTTTCGGGAAAAGATTAGACAGGGATATCGCAGAATCTCGTAAGTTGAGGGTTGGGGTTAAAGCCCGCGTCCCAAATTGCGGGCCGCGAGGGTCAAGTTTTTAAAACTTGACGAAGTTGAGTGTCCAAGCTTTTGAAAGTCATGCACTTGCAATTTGGGACTTTCGAAGACAGATTCACTCACCAGGGGGAAAACCGAGGGTTGGCTGGGTCTCGCGAAAAAAACGAACCTAGACGAAATCGGAAACTCTCGCCAAAGCCCACACCAGAAAAACTCCCTCTGGTCAACTTTTAAAAGCATGAACAATTTGGGCCGCCGGCTTTAAGCATTCGCAAATTTCGTATGCATGGGATTGAGAGGAATAGCGTTCGCATATTTCGTGAGTTGGGGGGTTGTGGGGGGTTGGCGAGCAATCGCAAATTTCGTAGATATTGAACGGGGAGAGCATTTCGCCTTACGTGGGGGGAAATCCAGGTGGCGAGCTGGATAAAAAAAACTATGGATCCGTAATTAGATCTCGCAAAATGCTGATCCAACCTAGATATTTTCCCCCAGTTTCCCGCAATTCCCCTGCCCGCCGTTGCGTATTTCGAGCGTAACAATGGATGCCTAGGGGCGATCACGTTCGTGTTCGCCTCGAACACGTTCGTGTTCGCCTTAGCATGCAAGATGTTCGCCCTCACAGGCGAACATCGAACACCCTTTTTTGTAAAAGGTGTTCGGCGAACCGAACAGTGTTCGGTTCGCTGAACGGCAGTGTTCGAGCTGGGGCGAACGCGAACACGTTCGTGTTCGCCCCTTGCTCATCCCTATGGTGGACTATGGGCTTCGCATGCACACTGCTCTCAACGTCCTCAATGTACGTGCCAGTAAGAGCAGAGGCTGGTGCGTTGTTCCAGACTCGGCTTTGTAGTCGTCTTGATAGGCACGGCACTGGTAGCACTGGGAGCAAGCACGGGCAAGTGCCCTGTTCCAAGTATCAGACTAGGACCCCATGATGGTGGACTATGGGCTTCGCAGCGCATGCACACTGCTCTCAACAACCTCAACTCAATGTACGTGCGGCTCCCTCCCTCCTCCTCTTCCTCCTGCCCTGTCATTACATCATCTTATCGTCAGGTCCCAGTGTTTTGCCGCTACCGCTCCCCTATCCCGTTACAATGATGAACCAACCCCTCCCTGTCATCTCCCCCCGTTTCCCCTCCACCCGTCCCTCCGTGCCTTTCCCCCTCTGCCCTCTCATTCGGTCTCCCTTTTTTTTTTTCCTCTTCCTTCTTTGATCCCATCTGCTCCTCAGGACCTCATGTGTGCGGCGGTGGTGGCGCTGCTATCAGACTCGCCCACTCAAGACCCTGAGAAGTCGCCCGTGCAGCTGCGCCCAGAGCAGCACCGCACCCAGCAGCACATCCTTCCCTTCCACCTCCCCATTTCCCCCCATCTTCCCCCCTCGGTGCTGTTCCCCCTCTGCGCCCAGTCATCATTTCAACTCTCTCCCGTGCTTTCCCCTTTCCCTCTCTCTCCATTTATTCACTATCATCTGCTCTGCAGGACCTCATGTGTGCGGCGGTGGTGGCGCTGCTATCAGACTCGCCCACTCAAGACCCTGAGAAGTCGCCCGTGCAGCTGCGCCCAGAGCAGCACCGCACCCAGCAGCACATCCTGCCCTCCCACCTCCCCCTCATTCCCCCCCCCCTTCCTCTTCCCCTCTTCCCGCCCTCTGCGCCCCCTCATCCTCATCAAATTCTTCCCGTCTTTCCTTGTCTATCCCCCATCTGCTCCGCAGGACCTCATGTGTGCGGCGGTGGTGGCGCTGCTATCAGACTCGCCCACGCAAGACCCGGAGAAGTCACCCGTACAGCTGCGCCCAGAGCAGCACCGCACGCAGCAGCACATCCTACCCTCCCACCTCCCGCTCTCCTTCCCCTCCTCCACTCCCCGGTCTGATTTAACCAGCGAGCCGGCTGGGGTGGGTGGTGGAGGGGGGAGGGAAGCAGTGGGAGCAGCGGGGACTGGGGTTGGAGGAGGAGAAATGGGAGGGGAGGCAGCAGGGGTTGGAGCAGAGATGGGAGGAGGTGGTGTGGGAGGTGGGACTGGGGGAGGGGTGGGAGGCAGGCGGCGTGTTCTGGAGGTGAAGGGAGGGGAGGAGTCAGGCAGGGAGCGGAAGGGTCTCGAGGTGCAAGAGGAGCAGGGAGGGGAGGGCGGCACTGTGCGGCGCGTTGTTGTGTATAACCCGCTGGAAGAGGAGGTGAAGCAGGTGAGTGAGCAGGTGTATAACCCCCTTCTGTCCACATGTCATCTCAGTGGTGGTGGAGATCACACTTGTCTCTGTGCTCAGCCCCCTTAAGGGCACATGCCTGCCAGCGCAGCCCATGCCGTCGATGCACGCTCTTACCACCCCCCGCTCCCCCTTTTCCCAACCCAACCCCCTTCCCGCTTTTCCTTCCTTCGCAGGTCATCTCAGTGGTGGTGGTGGAGATCACACTTGTCTCAGTGCTCAGCCCCCCCAAGGGCACATGCTTGCCAGCGCAGCTCATGCCAGACCAGAGTGGGCCAACCTTCTCATGCCACCCCTGCGCGACCCTCCTCTTCCTTCCTTTGCAGGTCATCTCAGTGGTGGTGGAGATCCCACTTGTCTCTGTGCTCAGCCCCCCCAAGGGCACATGCCTGCCAGCGCAGTTCATGCCAGACCAGAGTGGGCCAACCTGCTCATGCCACCCCTGCGCGTCCCTCCTCTGCCTCCCCTCGCAGGTCATCTCTGTGGTGGTGGAAACCCCCCTCATCGCAGTGCTCAGCCCCAAGGGAAAGTGCCTGCCTGCCAGCACAGCTCATGCCAGCACCCTGCCCCATCCTCCCCTTCCCCTCTCCTCCCCCTCCATCCCCCCTTCCCTCGCAGGTCATCTCTGTGGTGGTGGAAACCCCTGTCATCGCAGTCCTCAGCCCCAAGGGCAAGTGCCTGCCAGCGCAGCTCATGCCACTCCTTCCCCACCCTGCTTTTCCCTTCCCCTCCCCTCCTTCACCATCCCCGCTTCCTTCGCAGGTCATCTCTGTGGTGGTGGAAACCCCTCTCGTCTCAGTGCTCAGCCCCAAGGGCACGTGCCTGCCAGCGCAGGTCATGCCAGAGTGGGCCAATCCGCCCCCCTTCACTCCCAAGCCCCCCCAAAACGCCTCCTCTCCCAGCACAACTAGTAACGGCGCTCTCCCAACTGACCCCACTGCTGCTGCCACAGCCACAGATGCTGCCACAGCCACAGCTGCAGAGTCTGCTGCCCCTCTGTCTGTCTCAACAGGAAGGCACAGGTTGTTCTGGGTAGCCACAGTACCCGCCCTCGGTCTCCAAACCTTTGTGGTCGGCCCGCCCGAAACTTTGCCCCGCTGCCCGGCTGCAGATCTCTCGCTCCTCGAAGTTTCCAACCCGCCCGCGGGATTCCTCTGCCCGAGCCCATATAAATGCACCGTTCACGATCCAAAGGAAGACGACGCCTTTTCGATCGGGAACCACGAGCAGCGAGTCAGATTCTACGCAGCTACAGGGCTCATGAAGAACATCCAGCATAGGAGAATAATCAGGGACACTATTGTAGACGAGGAATTCGCCATGTATACCGGGCGGAGTGGGGCGTATCTGTTTCTCCCTGGGGGTGACGCGGTCCCTATAGTGACTGACGGAGGTGCGTCGTTTATATCACGAGGGGAGGTAGCAGAGGAGGTGCATACGGTGTTCAGTTTTCTACCTGTGGAAGCGTGGGATGGGACAGGGCAGCAGCTGGGGGAATGGGAGCTTCAGCAGCGGCGGGAGGGGCGGCGGCAGAGGCGGAAGCAGCAGCTGCAGCGGCAGCGGCAGCAGCAGCAGCAGTGGCAGCAGCAGCATGGGGCAGCAGGGACAGTGCTGCAAAGGCCGTGGGATAGGGAGGCTCAGGGGGGAGGTGGAGGGGACGAGGGGCTGAGAGTATTGAGAGAATCCCTGAGGAATGCTGCTTTGAACCATTTGCACTCTCACAGGCACAGGCATGGGCATGGGCATGGGCGCGAGCATGGGCATGGGCATGGACACGAGCAATGGCTTGAGCGTGAGAATCCGCATATCCATGAGCATTGGCATGAGCATGAGCGTATGCGTATGCATCAGATGGATAGGAGCGAGAACACTCAAGCACAGGAGCACGTGCAGGAACAGGAACAGGCAGTGGAACAGGCACAGGCACAGGCACAGGCACAGGCACAGGCACATGTGCAGGTGCAGGGGCAGGGGCAGATGGGAGGCGGAGGGGAGCAGCAGGTGGTTCATCCGTTGAGTGAGGTGGAGGCGATGAGAGAGAGGCTGAGGCAGCGGGCACAGCCGGGGGATGTGGTGCTGTGGCAGCAAGATCAGGAAGGGCAGGGCGGGCAGGGCGGGCAGGGCGAGCTGAGCGTGCAGGGAGAGCAAGCAGGGGAGGGAGGGGCGGGTTTGCAGCAGCAGCAGTACCCAGAAGTGGAGGTTGGGCCGTATTCAGGGCGAGTGCAGCAGCTGAGACAGTTCCAGGTAGCTAGGAGACGACTGCTGGAGGAGGGTGGTGGTGTGGGAGAGGATGAGGAGGATGAGGATGAAGAAGTTGTTGCTGGTGATGATGAGGGAGAGGAGGGAGAGGAGGAAGAGGAGGAAGAGGAGGGAGAGGAGGAAGAGGAGGGAGAGGAGGGAGAGGAGGAAGAGGAGGGAGAGGAGGAAGAGGAGGATGAGGATGATGAAGTTGTTGCTGCTGCTGCTGATGATGATGGAGAGGAGGAGGCCGAGGAGGAGGATGGAGATCACACCCGGGCAGATCACACCCAGGCAGTTCACATCTTTGCAGAGGAGGATGACGAGGAGGGGGAAAAACATGCTGTAGTTGAGAAACAGGCAGGGAGGGTGTCAGAAGCTGCAGAAGCTGGAGATCACACCCAGGCAGATCACATCCTCTCAGCCGAAAATCATGCTGTAGTTGAGAAACAGGCAGGGGGGGTGTCAGAAGCTGTAGCGGAAATGGTGGGAGCGGATGGGGAGGCATTGGTTGGGGGTTTGAGGAGAAAGCTTTTGCAGGTGAGGCGGAAGGGAAGGAAGAAAAGGAAGGGCAGGAAGGGGAGGAAGAGAAGTGTGAGTGGGGCAAGTGGGGAGGCTGGTGGTGTTGCTAGTAGTGAAATTGGCAGGGCTGTTGAAACGGCTGGGACAGGGGGAAGTGGGAGTGGTGGTGCTGCTGATGTCGATGGTACGGGGGCAATGGTAGGGACGAGGAAGAAGGGGAGGAAAGGGAAGATGAAGCGGAGGAAGAGGCGGGGACGGGAGCAGCAGGAAGGAACGACAGGTGCAAGTGGTGGTGCTGCTAGTGGTGATGGCACTGGGGCCGGCTCAGCTGCGGTTGCTTTTGAGTCGACTCAAAAGCGTGATGGTACTGGGACTGGCTCGGCTGTAGTTGCAGGAGGAGAAGGAATGAGTGAAGGAGCAGGGAGTGGAACAGGAACGCTTAGGTTTCATGACGGGCTGCCTGGAGAAGGGGTGGGAGGAGGAGGGATGGGAGCAGGAGGGGTGGGAGTAGGAGGGGAGGTTGGTGATATGATCCGGAACAGAGTGCATGATGACAGTGAGTTTGACGCTGCTGCTAGGTCGGAGTTACCCGAGCAGGTCATTACAGTGTACCACTCAGATACCGCTGCTGGTGCTGCTGGTGATGTTGGCGCTGGTGGTGGTGCTGGTGGTGCTGGTGCTGGTGATGGTAATGGTGGTGGTGGTGGTGGTGGTGGTGTTGATGCGGAGAGCAAAGGAGGGGCGGATGGAGGGGAGGACGAGGGGCACGAGGTGGGGGTGGAGGAGGACGAAGGGGAGCATGAGAAGCCTGAGCCAGAGAGCATAGCCGTGACCCGCCGCGACTGGGAGAGCACCAGTGGCGCCGGTAGCAGCAGCGAGGGGGGAAGCAACAGTGGCGGTAGTGGGGTGCAGGGCGGTACAGAGGAGTATCGAGAGGTGGAGGAGCTTCAGAAGGCAGCAGCGGGGGATGGCATGTTGGAGAAGCACGGGTGGGAGGAGGCAGCTGAAGCCCTGGAGGAGCCGCAGGTCCCGGAGGTGCTGGAGCCATTAGAGGAGGAGGAGGAGGGGGCTCTCATGCCCGTTGTGCGCTCTGTCATGCTCTACAAAGTCCGAGGCCCTCAGGTGCGTTACCCCCAGGGGTTGGTGGTAGAAGCACGGGTGGGTGGGAGGAGGCTGCAGATGCACTGGAGGAGCCGCAGGTGCCTGGTGTGCTGGAGCCATTGGAGGAGGAGGAGGAGGAGGAGGAGGGGCCTCTCATGCCCGCCGTGCGCTCGGTCATGCTCTACAAAGTCAGGGCCCCGCAGGTGCGTCTCCAGATGCTCTGTTGTGTTCCACGAAATCAAGTCACTTCAGGTGTGTTCCCAAGTGCTTCTGCTAGGAATTTCACACAGTGTCCTCAGGTCGGTTGTACCAGAGAAATCAGCCAACCTTGGCGTTTTCGCCCGCACAACTGCCCCAAGCTTCACTCCTTCCCATCCCTCCCCCACCCTTTGCACCTCTCTCAACCACCAGGATCCGGTGAAAGGGGCTTGCCTGCCACCTGCCCTCTCCCTCTCTCCCAATCTCTCTCCCAATACATTCCCCCTTTCCGCTCTGCCCACTTGCGCCTGTCCCACCCCCCAGGGCCTGCTGATAGAGGCACGCCATCAGGTGATCATCTCATCAACAGCGGTGGACAACAAGGAGCTCGTGGTGCGCTACCGCACGTCCCTCGACTCCTCCCCCCTCTTCTACACCGACTCCAACGCCTTCCAGACCGTCTCCCCTCCCTCCCCCTATCCCCCCTCGTTCGCACCGGAACCACCTCCAGCGCCTGTTCTCTCCCTTTCCCCTGATTCTCATTTCCATTCCCCCTTCCCACTCCCTCCCACCGTACCTATGCCATCTCCCAGGGCTTGCTGATAGAATCACGGCACCGGGTGAACATCTCATCAACAGCGGTGGACAACAAGGAGCTGGTGGTGCGCTACCGCACGTCCATCGACTCCTCGCGCCTCTTCCACACCGACTCCAACGGCTTCCAGACCGTCTCTCCCAGTTCCAATCTAATCCGTTCTTTCCGCTCTGCCCCCCTGCCCTCCACCCCCCCTCCCCTCCTCCCGCTGCGCCTGTGCCACCCGCCAGGGCCTGCTGATAGAGACCAAGCACCGGGTGAACATCTCAACCACAGCGGTGGACAACAAGGAGCTCGTCGTGCGCTACCGCACGTCCATCGACTCTTCGCGCCTCTTCTACACCGACTCCAACGGATTCCAGACCGCCTCCCCTCCCCCTGCCGTATCCCCCCTCGTTCGCCCCAGAAACAGCTCTCTCCCTCACTCCTGATTCCAATCCCGATTCCCACTTCCCATCCCCCTCACTCCTGCCCCCTCTCCCACCCCCAGGGCCTGTTGATAGAAACACGGCACCGGGTGAACATCTCATCAACAGCAGAAGACAACAAGGAGCTCGTCGTGCGCTACCGCCCCAACCTTGACTCCTTTGCCTCCCCTCCCATCCCACGTCGCAGGGCCTGCTGATAGAGGCACGCCATCAAGTCAACATCTCATCGACAGCGGTGGACAACAAGGAGCTCGTGGTGCGCTACCGCACGTCCATCGACTCCTCACACCTCTTCCACACCGACTCCAACGGCTTCCAGACTGTCTCTCCCTGTTCCAATCTAATCCGCTCTTTCCGCTCTGCCCCCCTGCCCCTTTCCCACCCCCCCTCCCCTCCTCCCGCTGCTCCTGTGCCACCCGCCAGGGCTTATAAATAGAAACACGCCATCACGTGAACATCTCCTCAACAGCGGTGGACAACAAGGAGCTCGTGGTGCTCTACCGCCCCAACCCTGACTCCTTTCTTTCCCCCACTTTTCCACTGCGCCTCTCCCACCTGCCAGGGCTTGCTGATAGAAACACGGCACTGGGTCAACATTTCAACGGCAGTAGACAACAAGGAGCTCGTAGTGCGCTACCGCACGTCCATCGCCTCCTCCCCCCTCTTCCACACCGACTCCAACGCCTTCCAGACCGTCCGCCGGGAGACGCTTGTAGTGCGCTACCACACCAGCCCTGACTCCTTCTCTCGCCCCTTCCCTGTGCGCCCTGCCCCTCTGCACCCCTCCCATCCCACCTCTCAGGGCCTGCTGATCGAGACCAAGCACCAGGTGAACATCTCATCGACAGCAGTAGACAACAAGGAGCTCGTGGTGCGCTACCGCACGTCCATCGACTCCTCGCACCTCTTCCACACCGACTCTAATGGCTTCCAGACCGTCCGCCGCGAGACGCTCCCCAAGCTCCCCACGCAGGGCAACTTCTACCCCATGCCCGCCCTCGCGTTTATCCAAGACCCCTCGGGCGTCAGGTTCTCGGTCCACACGCGCCAAGCTGTGGGCGTGGCCAGTCTCAAGGTGAGCTGCGTGTGTGTGCATGACTTTCTGTCTCGGGTTTGCTGAGCTTGAAACTGGTATGGGCGTGGAGCCAAGCTCCCCACGCAGGGCAACTTCCACCCCATGCCCGCCCTCGCCTTCCGCAAGACCCGTCTGGAATCAGGTTCTCCGTTCACACGCGCCAAGCTGTGGGCGTGGCTAGTCTCAAGGTGAGTTACACACACACACACACACACTCTGCCATCCGTCTCAGGTTTGTTGCTACCGTATCTACACCCATATGTTATTATCTCTGCCATCTCCCACTGTCAACCAACCACCTCCCACTCTCGCCCTCTCTGCCTCTTCTTTTCTCCCTCTTCCTCCTGCCTCCACCTTACACCAGACCGGCTGGTTGGAAATGATGCTGGATCGCCGCCTCCCACAGGATGACAACAGGGGCATGCAGCAGGGCGTGTTAGACAATGAACCACCCCGCACTCACCCTCGCTTTCCCTTACTCACCCCCTCATCCCCAACCCTTCCCTCTCTCCCTTCCATCCACCTCTCTGCACCAGACCGGCTGGTTGGAAATGATGCTGGATCGCCGCCTCCCACAGGACGACAACAGGGGCATGCAGCAAGGCGTGTTAGACAACCACCTCCCACGCTCCCTCCCATTCCTTACTTACTCCCTCGCCACTTCCCCTTCCCTCCCGTGCTCCTTCCCTGCACCAGACCGGCTGGTTGGAAATGATGCTGGATCGCCGCCTCCCACAGGACGACAACAGGGGCATGCAGCAGGGCGTGTTGGACAACCACCCCACACAAACCATCTTCCACCTAGTCCTCGAAAGAAACACCTCCGCCCGCCCCTTCCCCGCCTCCTCCTCCTCCGCCGCCCTCCTCCCCTCCCTCACTTCGCAACGAATCGGCTCGCGGCTCAACTACCCGCCGTATCTCTTCGTCGGGCAGCCCGAAAGCCCGTCGAGATTTGTTTCCGGGCAGGATGGAGATGCCGGACGAGGGGCTGGCAGGAAGGGGAGTGGCAGTAGCAGCAGCAATGGAGCAAAGGCAGGGAAACCGGGTGTTTTGGCTGGCACTGTGGAGCCGAAGCCGGGCGGCCTTGGTTGGACGTATTCTCCATTGGGCCGCCCGTTACCGTGTAACATGCATGTGGTCAGCTTCAAGGTCCATCGGCCCATGCCCAACGCCTCGGTACGTCCTCCCTCTGGACCCTCTCCACTCCCTCCATTCATTGCACTGTTGCATGCTCTCTTTACTAGTTCAATCCTCACCCCTGCTACAAGCTTGCTGACACTCCCCTGACCCCTCTACATTGGGCCGCTGCTAGCCCCATGCTGCATCGCAGGGGTTCGGCAGCATCTATGCAAACTACCATCCCGGATCTCGTAGCATTGCCATTCACTGACCTTCTATTTCTCTGTTTCCTCACAGGTGCATACCGAGCCGCCTCTAGCGCTCGTGCTACACCGGAGGGGCTTCGATCACAGCTTTGGAGGCTCACACCGTGAGGCTCCCTGCAAGGTCACCCCCACCGGCCAAGTGCACCTCGCGCGTCTTTTCTCCGGCGCTTATGTAACAGAGTTCGAAGAGTTCCCACTTAACCTTGTCCGACCTGGTCCGATAGCAGCTAATTCGGGGTCGCCTGGTGAGGGTTCTGAGGATTCGCTTGGAGTAGGAGGGAGAGAGGGTGGGAACAGGACAAGGGGAGGGATGAGCGCGGGGGGGGCGTTTGCGAAGCGAGCGTGGCAGCAGAGAGTGAGAGGCGGGGTGACGAGTTTGAAGCTAGAAGTGATGGAGCTCAAGGCTGTTAAGCTACAGATGACGATGAAGGCACGGAGGAAGGGGTGGGGGAGGTGGAGGAGCAAGTGAACTTATGGTGATCAAATGGGGAAAATGAAATTGTGGATGTTTGCAATTGACCAGGGTAATAAATTCGTGTGGTATTCTAGGTCATTAGAGGTATGACATGAAGTGTGAATTTGCTATACATCATTTCATCCTTCTCAATCGTTTCAAGCCATCCACCGTCTCCAACCGTAACCGACCATGCTATTACCCTCGCAGTGTCATTGCTTGGCATTGTTCGCGTAAAGAAAGCAGGGTTCGCCCTTGTTTGGCAGCCATAGCCACACGCCACAGCACAAGCCTAGTTTCATTGCTGCCTCGCACGCGCCGTGTGGGACAATCTCGCTCCTGCTGCCGTCGCTCGCGCTACTGCTGCATTTCAAGCAGCTGTCAAATCAGTTGGTCACGGCATCTTGTCGAAGCAGCTGATACCGTAGCTCGCAAACATGCCGTACACCGGAAAGAGCTCGCTCGCTCTTGTAAGTGTTCGCTTTCTCGGTTTTTTTTTTCTCGTAATCCCGTCCATTAGTATACTATGCCTCACGCGTGTGTTTCGTGCATCAGCTTGTCGAATGACAAGCGCTCGAGACCGTCGGATCTGACGTCGTCATCTCAACCAACCAGGCTTCGACGCGTGTGACGTTTACTCACGGATCTCGTTGTTTTCGCTCCGCAGATCGCGAGGGTTTCGGCAGTTGGAGTGGGGCTCGCCTACGGTGCGACTATGCTCACATACAAGCGGGTAGGAATAGCTTCGCCTGCTTCCTTGCCTTGGCACACGTGATCCGTGATCCTTCAGTGTGTGAATTCCCGATTTGTCCACTCTCATTGTGACTGTTGGCGTGGGTGTCGCCTACGGCGCGACGATGCTCACGTACCTCCGGGTAGGATTAGCTTCGCCTGCTTTCCTGCCGTGATACCTGGTCGTTCGAATCGTGAGCATTTTATCATTTTCAATCCGCGGACTCTCATTGTGGCTGCTGTCGTGGTTGTCGCGTACGGCGTCACTATGCTCACATGCCTCCGTGTATTATCGCCTTTACCTGCGTCTTTGCCTTAGGTCACGTTATTTGTGAATGCTCGATTTGTAAACTTTTGTTCTGTTACAAACCAACGACGCCACCCCTTGCTCACATGCCTTCAGGCCCTCTCATGTGCCGGTTGTGTGATTTTTTTGAAGCCCCTTCTCGATTTTCCGTTGTTTGCTTTCCGTGCTTGGGGCTCTGATTGCACAGGCAACGAAGGCTGCAGCTGCAAAGAAGAATCCTGGCCACCATTAACATGGATATGGCATGAATGACTCTGGTGTATTATGGATATAATGTTTTATGGAGACATACTGCAAGGCACAGTGAAGCAAGCCTGAAGCAAGCCTATTTTGTTGTATGGTACCAAGCCCACCCTCATGCTCTTCATTGTTGAACAGTGGTACATGCATTCGCATGTCAGAAGCTACCCAACTCTCACGTTTCACCCATCTGAGGCAGTTGATGCATTGCACTTTTCAAAAATATTTTATTACAATGGATTTACAGTACCGTAACATCTATCAGCCACTGCCACTCCCACCCAGGAGTCAGTACCCTGCCTGCATACTGGATGGCTTCTGAGAGAGGAGAGAGTGGAACAGAAACACCGGCTACCCCTACCACTCGCTGTCAGTCCCCTGCACTCTGCTCACAAACTGCACGCCCTTGCCTCTCCGCTTCCTCTTCACCGTCAGATGATCCGCCAGCGACGGTTCAAACGCCCAGAACTGCATCTCAGGTACGGTACCTGCCACCAGTACGAGTCCACCCAGCCACTGCACCGTTACTACCGTACTCCTGTGTGTGTGTCCGTCCGGTGCTTCCTAATTGCCTTCCGCTGAGAGAAATAAGCAGCTAGGGGTGGTGCTACCACTCGCTGTCAGTCCCCTGCACTCTGCTCACAAACTGCACGCCCTTGCCTCGCCGCTTCCTCTTCACAGTCAGATGATCCGCCAGCGACGGTTCAAACGCCCAGAACTGCATCTCAGGCACCTGCCACCAGTACGAGTCCACCGGATCGTTCACAAAAAACCTCTCCACCAGCTTCTGAGCGCCCTCCAGCGACACTATATACGCGAACGAGCACCAGACGAGCGGGGAAACCACCACGTGTTGCGACAGCTTCGGGTAGTAGAACGAAGTCATGATGCCGGATTTCCCGAGGAAAACTATGTCCGGCCGGAACGGGTTGATCTCCCGTGTGATCACCTCATTCGCCTCCGCCACGTCTGGCTCAAACACCTCTCGGAAGGAATGCGTTAAGAACCGCACATCGTCTTCGAATACGATGGCGTATGGGAGCTGCCTTCGCACGACCTCCAGCCAGACGAAGTAGTGGGAGAGCGCACACCCGACCTCGCCCTTGCTCAGGGTCGGCCGGGCCTGCTTCTCCTGCCACCAAGGCGTGGTTCGGGTGCGCGCCCGATGCTCCTTGTCCACCAGGTGAGTCACCACTTGGTAGTCTGTATTAGAGACTGAAATGCCGTTTGCTTTTACGATCTCTCCGAATCCCTGCTGCTGCAGCACGGGCTCTAATGAGACGAACCGGTCGGCGTCTTCGGCCAATCCGATCACGAATGTCGGCCACATGGCTAGCTTGGGCGGCATGGATCTCATCACCAAGCGCACCGCTGCAGGTGGCCTCATCCCTGGGACCTGGAAATTCACCTGAGGATTCACCTGGAGATTCACCTGGGCACCGGACCCTGGCACCTGGAGAATCTCCTGGTGAGACCGAATCAGGCACTGCGCAGGTGTCCCACAATCAGCATCCACGGCAATGGTCGCCCTAGCTCCTGATTCCATTGATGCCTGTCTCACCCAATCCTTCTTCACAATATTCCCCCGGATTCGGGGGTGCCCAGGAAAGCTGAGGAAGAGGGTTTCCCGGCAGGCGGAGGAGAGGCGGGAGGAGGAGTGGAGGTCGAGGGGCGGGGCGCGGCAGGGCTTGGGGCGGCACATGAACATCTGGGAGTTGAAGAGAGGCGGGTCTGCTGCTAGGATGTGCGCGTGCGGGACGGTGAAAAACGCCTCTGATATCGGCCTGGTTGGGAAGCAGAGGGTGGGGGAATGGGGGAGAGTATAGCCAAGGGTGAGGCGAATTGTGAAACTGGGGATGAAGGGGGGACCATGAGAGGTTGGGGGGCGGATGGAGGAGCAAGTAGGATGCAAGGAGGACAAAGGGCTTGGGGCGGCACATGAACATCTGGGAGTTGAAGAGAGGCGGGTCTGCTGCTAGGATGTGTGCGTGTGGGACGGTGAAAAAGGCTTCTGATTTCGGCCTGGTTGGGAAGCAGAGGGTGGGGGAACAAGGGGAAGAGTTGAGTCACGAGTGAGGCGAATTGTGAGACAAGGGTGGAAGGAGGGGGCACGCGAGATTGATTGGGGAAGAGTTGAGTCACGAGTGAGGCGAATTGTGAAACTAGGGTGGAAGGAGGGGGCATGCGAGATTGATTGGGGGTTGGATGGAGGTGCAAGTACGATGCAGGGAGGACAAAGGAGTTGAAGAGAGGCGGGTCTGCTGCTAGGATGTGTGCATGTGGGACGGTGAAAAGTGCCTCTGATATCGGCCTGGTGGTGATGGGGTGGGTAAAGGGGGGAGAATTGAGTCAAGAGTGAGGCGAATGTTGAGACTGGGGAAGGATGGAGGAAGGGGGTACGCGGGGTTGGGGGGCGGACGGGGGTGATGGGGGCGGACGGGGGTGATGGGGGTGATGGGGGTGATGGGGGTGATGGGGGCGGACGGGGGTGATGGGGGTGATGGGGGTGATGGGGGTGATGGGGGTGATGGGGGTGATGGGGGGTGATGGGGGTGATGTGAGGTGATGGGGGTGATGGGGGTGATGGGGGTGATGGGGGTGAGGGGGGTGATGGGGGTGATGGGGGTGATGGGGGTGATGGGGGTGATGGGGGTGAGGGGGGTGCTGCTCCAAGAATGGCGCGAGGGAGGAGCATGCACGTGGCTTCACGATGTTGCCCGTGAGCTGCTGCTCCAGGTAGGGCGCGAGGGCGATGAATGGGATGGGAGTAGCACAGCACCACATGCAATGGAAGGAGATGGCTCACTCACACGTGCAGACGCATGCGGGAGAACATCCTCTTGGCGCCGGCATACGAGATGAGGTAGGCGTGTGTGTGAACCCATGCTGGGCTGCGCCTTCAGAATGTTGGCTGTGAGCTGCTGCTCCGAGTAGCAGCGGCAGCAGCAGCAGCAACAGCACAGCAGCAGAGGCAGGAAAGGGATGGCTCACTCACACGTTAAGCCGCATGCGAGCAAGCATCTTCTTGGCCCCTGCATAGGTGATAAGGTAGGCATGTGGACCCACGCTGGGCTGCGCCTTGAGAATGTTGGCTGTGAGCTGTTGCTCCGAGTAGGGCGCGAGGGCTCAGACCCTTTCTAAGGCGCCTCAGAAGCAGGGCGAGGGGGCAGGGCGCGCAAGCAGCAGAGGCAATGGAAAGGGATGGCTCACTCACACTTTTAGCCGCATCTGCGACAGCATTCTCTTGGCGCCCGCATAGGTAATGAGGTAGGCGTGGGACCCCATGCTGGGCTGCGCCTTGAGAATGTTGGCTGTGAGCTGCTGCTCCGAGTAGGGCGCGAGGGCGGAGCGAGCCAGCAGCAGCACGTCAAAGAAGAAGCGGTTGCCGTTCTGAATTATTAGGAGGTTGAGCTGGCGGAGTAGCTGCACAGGGGGAAGGTAGGAGGGGTGGAGAGCGGTAGTGAGGGGCTGGGAAGGGTTGGGGGAGGGCGTGTGCAGGGCTGCCTAGGGCGGAGCGAGCCAGCAGCAGCACGTCAAAGAAGAATCGGTTGCCGTTCTGGATTATCAGCAGGTTCAGCTGGCGTAGTAGCTGCACAGGGGGGAGGGGTGGAGAGAGGTTGTGAGGGCTGTGAAGGGGTGTGCAGGCCAGCTCAGGTAGCCGCCAGCAGCAGCACGTCAAAGAAGAATCGGTTGCCTTTTCCTGAGAGGCTTAGAATTATGAACAGGTTGAGCTGGTGCAGGTGACTTTTGAGTCGACTCAAAAGAATCGGTTGCCATTTCCTGAGAGGCTTAGAACTATGAACAGGTTGAGCTGGCGCAGTCCCTGCACATTCCAGTGAGAGGAGGGGAAAAATCAGTGGTGGAAAGTGGTTGTGAGGGGCACATTCCATCCTCGTCCACCTCGTTGCTTACATCATCTTCAGAAATCCAGCGTGTATGGCAGTCGCAGCACCACCACCCTACACCCTCCCAGCCCAGTGTGCAAACACCCACCCCTTCCCACCCACCCCTTCCCACTCACTCACTAACTCACCCCTTCCATCCTCTGCTTCCAGGCTGCATTCCCGTTCACCTCGTCCCGTGCGTCATCTCCAAACACCAATGCATTCGGCAGCTGCAGCACCACCACCACCCCTCTCAGTGCGCAAACGCTCATCCCCTCATACACTCACTCCTTCAAACTTACTCCTTCACTAACTCACCCCTTCCATCCTCTGCTTCCACGCTGCATTCGAGTCCACCTCGTTCCTTGCATCGTCTTCAAACACCAACGCGTATGGCAGCCGCAGCACCACCACCCTCGCCCACACCTCGAAATGCGCGAACGCGTATGCAAGGTCATGGGGGTGGAGCCCCCCTCATACACTGCACCGCCCGCTCATACGCTGCACCGCCCGCTCATACGCCGCACCGCACGCTCATAAGCTGCACCGCACGCTCATACGCTGCACCGCCCGCTCATACGCTGCACCTCACGCTCATACGCAGCACCGCACGCTCATACGCTGCACCGCACGCTCATACGCTGCACCGCACGCTCATAAAATGCATTGCACGCACATACGCTGCACCGCACGCACATACGCTGCACCGCACGATCATACGCTGCACCGCACGCTCATACGCTGCACCGCCCGCTCATACGCTGCACCGCCCGCTCATACGCCGCACCGCCCGCTCATACGCCGCACCGCACGCTCATACGCCGCACCGCACGCTCATACGCTGCACCGCACGCACATACGCTGCACCGCCCGCTCATACGCTGCACCGCCCGCTCATACGCTGCACCGCCCGCTCATACGCTGCACCGCACGCTCATACGCTGCACCGCCCGCTCATACGCTGCATCGCACGCTCATACGCTGCACCGCACGCTCATACGCTGCACCGCACGCTCATACGCTGCACCGCACGCTCATACGCTGCACCGACCGCTCATACGCTGCACCGCCCGCTCATACGCTGCACCGCCCGCTCATACGCCGCACCGCACGCTCATACGCTGCACCGTCCGCTCATACGCTGCACCGCACGCTCATACGCTGCACCGCCCGCGCATACGCTGCACCGCACGCTCATACGCTGCACCGCCCACTCATACGCTGCACCGCACGCTCATACGCTGCACCGCCCGCTCATACGCTGCATCGCACGCTCATACGCTGCACCGCACGCTCATACGCTGCACCGCCCGCTCATACGCTGCACCGCCCGCTCATACGCTGCACCGCCCGCTCATACTCTGCACCGCACGCTCATACGCTGCACCGCCCGCTCATACGCTGCACCGCCCGCTCATACGCTGCACCGCACGCTCATACGCTGCACCGCCCGCTCATACGCTGCACCGCCCGCTCATACGCTGCACCGCCCGCTCATACGCTGCACCGCCCGCTCATACGTTGCACCGCCCGCTCATACGCTGCACCGCCCGCTCATACGCTGCACCGCCCGCTCATACGCTGCACCGCCCGCTCATACGCTGCACCGCACGCTCATACGCTGCACCGCCCACTCATACGCTGCACCGCCCGCTCATACGCTGCATCGCACGCTCATACGCTGCACCGCACGCTCATACGCTGCACCGCCCGCTCATACGCTGCACCGCCCGCTCATACGCTGCACCGACCGCTCATACGCTGCACCGCCCGCTCATACGCTGCACCGCCCGCTCATACGCTGCACCGCACGCTCATACGCTGCACCGCCCGCTCATACGCTGCACCGCACGCTCATACGCTGCACCGCACGCTCATACGCTGCACCGCCCGCTCATACGCTGCACCGCACGCTCATATGTTGCACCGCACGCTCATACGCTGCACCGCCCGCTCATACGCTGCATCGCACGCTCATACGCTGCACCGCACGCTCATACGCTGCACCGCCCGCTCATACGCTGCACCGCCCGCTCATACGCTGCACCGTCCGCTCATACGCTGCACCGCCCGCTCATACGCTGCACCGCCCGCTCATACGCTGCACCGCCCGCTCATACGCTGCACCGCACGCTCATACGCTGCACCGCCCGCTCATACGCTGCACCGCCCGCTCATACGCTGCACCGCCCGCTCATACGCTGCATCGCACGCTCATACGCTGCACCGCCCGCTCATACGCTGCACCGCCCGCTCATACGCTGCACCGCCCGCTCATACGCTGCACCGCCCGCTCATACGCTGCACCGCCCGCTCATACGTTGCACCGCCCGCTCATACGCTGCACCGCCCGCTCATACGCTGCACCGCCCGCTCATACGCTGCACCGCCCGCTCATACGCTGCATCGCACGCTCATACGCTGCACCGCACGCTCATATGCTGCACCGCACGCTCATACGCTGCACCGCACGCTCATACGCTGCACCGACCGCTCGTACGCTGCACCGCCCGCTCATACGCTGCACCGCCCGCTCATACGCTGCACCGCACGCTCATACGCTGCACCGCCCGCTCATACGCTGCACCGCACGCTCATACGCTGCACCGCACGCTCATACGCTGCACCGCCCGCTCATACGCTGCACCGCACGCTCATATGTTGCACCGCACGCTCATACGCTGCACCGCCCGCTCATACGCTGCATCGCACGCTCATACGCTGCACCGCACGCTCATACGCTGCACCGCCCGCTCATACGCTGCACCGCCCGCTCATACGCTGCACCGTCCGCTCATACGCTGCACCGCCCGCTCATACGCTGCACCGCCCGCTCATACGCTGCACCGCCCGCTCATACGCTGCACCGCCCGCTCATACGCTGCACCGCACCCTCATACGCTGCACTGCCCGCTCATACGCTGCACCGCCCGCTCATACGCTGCACCGCCCGCTCATACGCTGCACCGCACGCTCATACGCTGCACCGCACGCTCATAAAATGCATTGCACGCACATACGCTGCACCGCACGCACATACGCTGCACCGCACGATCATACGCTGCACCGCACGCTCATACGCTGCACCGCCCGCTCATACGCTGCACCGCCCGCTCATACGCCGCACCGCCCGCTCATACGCCGCACCGCACGCTCATACGCCGCACCGCACGCACATACGCTGCACCGCACGATCATACGCTGCACCGCACGCTCATACGCTGCACCGCCCGCTCATACGCTGCACCGCCCGCTCATACGCCGCACCGCCCGCTCATACGCCGCACCGCACGCTCATACGCCGCACCGCACGCACATTCGCTGCACCGCCCGCTCATACGCTGCACCGCCCGCTCATACGCTGCACCGCACGCTCATACGCTGCACCGCCCGCTCATACGCTGCACCGCACGCTCACACGCTGCACCGCCCGCTCATACGCTGCACCGCACGCTCACACGCTGCACCGCCCGCTCACACGCTGCACCGCACGCTCATACGCTGCACCGCACGCTCACACGCTGCACCGCACGCTGATACGCTGCACCGCACGCTCATACGCTGCACCGCCCGCTCACACACTGCACTGCACGCTCATACGCTGCACCGCACGCTCATACGCTGCACCGCCCGCTCATACGCTGCACCGCACGCTCATACGCTGCACCGCACGCTCATACGCTGCACCGCACGCTCATACGCTGCACCGCCCGCTCATACGCTGCACCGCACGCTCACACGCTGCACCGCACGCTCATACGCTGCACCGCCCGCTCATACGCTGCACCGCCCGCTCATACGCTGCACCGCCTGCTCATACGCTGCACCGTACGCTCATACGCTGCACCGCCCGCTCATACGCTCCACCGCACGCTCATACGCTGCACCGCCCGCTCATACGCTGCACCGCCCGCTCATACGCTGCACCGCCCGCTCATACGCTGCACCGCACGCTCACACGCTGCACCGCCCGCTCACACGCTGCACCGCACGCTCACACGCTGCACCGCCCGCTCATACGCTGCACCGCACGCTCACACGCTGCACCGCACGCTTACACGCTGCACCGCACGCTCATACGCTGCACCGCCCGCTCATACGCTGCACCGCACGCTCACACGCTGCACCGCCCGCTCACACGCTGCACCGCACGCTCATACGCTGCACCGCACGCTCATACGCTGCACCGCCCGCTCATACGCTGCACCGCCCGCTCATACGCTGCACCGCACGCTCATACGCTGCACCGCACGCTCATACTCTGCACCGCACGCTCATACGCTGCACCGCCCGCTCATACGCTGCACCGCACGCTCACACGCTGCACCGCACGCTCATACGCTGCACCGCCCGCTCATACGCTGCACCGCCCGCTCATACGCTGCACCGCCCGCTCATACGCTGCACCGTACGCTCATACGCTGCACCGCCCGCTCATACGCTCCACCGCACGCTCATACGCTGCACCGCCCGCTCATACGCTGCACCGCCCGCTCATACGCTGCACCGCCCGCTCATACGCTGCACCGCACGCTCACACGCTGCACCGCCCGCTCACACGCTGCACCGCACGCTCACACGCTGCACCGCCCGCTCATACGCTGCACCGCACGCTCACACGCTGCACCGCACGCTTATACGCTGCACCGCACGCTCATACGCTGCACCGCCCGCTCATACGCTGCACCGCACGCTCACACGCTGCACCGCCCGCTCACACGCTGCACCGCACGCTCATACGCTGCACCGCACGCTCATACGCTGCACCGCCCGCTCATACGCTGCACCGCCCGCTGATACGCTGCACCGCACGCTCATACGCTGCACCGCCCGCTCACACGCTGCACTGCACGCTCCTACGCTGCACCGCACGCTCACACGCTGCACTGCCCGCTCACACGCTGCACCGCACGCTCAGACGCTGCACCGCACGCTCACACGCTGCACCACACGCTCACACGCTGCACCGCCCGCTCACACGCTGCACCGCACGCTCATACGCTGCACCGCCCGCTCATACGCTGCACCGCCCGCTGATACGCTGCACCGCACGGTCATACGCTGCACCGCCCGCTCACACGCTGCACCGCACGGTCATACGCTGCACCGCACGCTCACACGCTGCACCGCCCGCTCATACGCTGCACCGCACGCTCATACGCTGCACCGCCCGCTCATACGCTGCACCGCCCGCTCATATGCTGCACCGCACGCTCATACGCTGCACCGCACGCTCATACGCTGCACCGCACGCTCATACGCTGCACCGCCCGCTCATACGCTGCACCGCCCGCTCATACGCTGCACCGCCCGCTCATACGCTGCACCGCACGCTCATACGCTGCACCGCATGCTCATACGCTGCACCGCACGCTCATACGCTGCACCGCCCGCTCATACGCTGCACCGCCCTCTCATACGCTGCACCGCACGAGCTACATCAGCCATCCTTGATTTCTTGCCCTGCCCACCCTCCCCCTCCCCCTCCCACCCGGGTCCTCACCAGCCTTGACCTGCGGTGAATCTCCTGCAGGGCACGCGGTGAATCTCCTGCAGGGCACGCGGTGAATCTCCTGCAGGGCACGCGGTGAATCTCCTGCAGGGCACGCGGTGAATCTCCTGCAGGGCACGCGGTGAATCTCCTGCAGGGCACGCGGTGAATCTCCTGCAGGGCACGCGGTGAATCTCCTGCAGGGCACGCGGAATGCTGGTCGCAGCGTCAAAGGAAGCCGCATCAACTGGCAGGGCTAAGGCGTCCCTCTCCACCCACCTGGAAGGGGTGGGTAGGCGGGATGAAATGGGTGTGGGGGGGGGGAAGAGGGGGAGAAGCAGGGGGGGGGTTGGTTGCTGCTGGTGAAGCAGGGGGGGTTTGGTTGCTCAGCCCGTTCCCCGTCCCGTCGTGTTGGCATCACACGAGGCTGCATTGAACGGAAGGGCAATGCGTCCCCCTCCACCCGCCTGGAATGGAAGGAAGTGGGGGGAATGAGATGGGGCACGAGATAAAGTAAGCAACGTCACTTCACTATCTCCGCTTTCGGAAGTGAGGGGTTGGTTGCTCAGCCCGTTCCCCGTCGTGTTTGCCAGGGCCCTTTCTCGCTGCCATCGCCGCAAAAGCCGCTTCCGCGTCGCACTCTTGTAACGAGTCCGTTCCGTCGACGTGTATCCTTGTAACGAGGATAGCCCGTGCCATTAATGGAGCGGTGACTACGGCGCGAATCTGTACACTCGCAAAGAATCCATTTTATGCGAATCTGCGCGGAGAAGAGATGAGCACAATATCAAGCCTCTAATAAACCTTCCAAATTGGAACGATTTCGCAATCAGAATGAAGCCAAAGATGGAAGTCTCAAACGTTGTAGTACGTTTGAGCACATATAGCAACATTGTGAACTGTTAGATTCACAGCGGAGCTCTGATCTGACTTGATATTGTGTTCCTTCGTAGAAGGGAGCATCGCGCGTCGCTACTACGCTTTAGCTAGGGTCGACCGCTCATGGTTCCGAATCTTACTGGATCGTTCCCTGCTGGCGACCAGCAGCGACTGTTGGCGACCAGCTGCGACTGTTGGCGACCAGCAGCGACTGTTGCCGACCAGCAGCGACTGTTGGCGAGCAGCGAGAGCCATTTCCCGCTGTCATCGCCCCGTGAGCCGCTTCCGCGTCGACTCTAGTAACGAGTAATAACCAGCGTCCGTTCGTCGACGTGTGTCGTCGTAGCGAAGATTTTTTCGTGCCATTATTAGGGCAGAAACGAATGCGACTATTCTGTACACTCACGTGCGCCGCGCGGAGAGGACATGAGCACTGAGACGGCGAGACAAACTGAGGCTAGACGAGTCGCCGAGGATATCGATCTAGGATTGCCAGGACGTGATCAGGATATCCAATGAAGTACACGACACTGCCGCAGCGCGGTGCTTGAGTGTACTATAACCATCGCAGCGCGGTGCTTGAGTCTACTATAACCATCGCAGCGCGGTGCTTGAGTCTACTATAACCATCGCAGCGCGGTGCTTGAATCTACTGTAAGGGCGACGTCAGGTTATACATTTCTCACGCGTTTATAGTTCTTGTATCGTGGCTCAGGACGGTCCAACACGGTGAAAAGCGGTTATCATCGTTTACCATTCTGAACCGTGTTGAAACGAAGTTGACCGCAGTGGGAGTACAAAAAGCTGTACAACCTGACTTCGCCCTAACCATCGCAGCGAAGACTCGCAGCCACACTGGCGCGTTTGAAAACCACTAGAGAGTACAAAATTGGTATACCAGTTGATAACTATCGATTTCAGAGATACCAATACCGGTATTAGTTCACAATTATCCAGCTGAGAAATATCCAACCAGAGATTCCATATCTACTAGAATATCAATATACTAATCTAGATGAGAACTATATATTGATAGTTACTACTATATTATACTACCCATGCTAATTATCCATTTAAAGTTGCTAATCATGATCCAAATTGTTTATTGATCGTACTAACGTACTACCCATGCACTGTAGATGTGCATGGGGGGTTCCTCTTGGCCGCCAGGAGCAAGCTCCCAACGTTACACCCAATCACCGCGGTGAGGTGGGAACCATCGCTTAGGACCCTTGATGTTACAACTAAGAATCGTAGTGGATAGGATAAGGTTGCTAAGTATAGAAGAGAACTGTGAAGTCTCTGTAATGACCTTGTTAACAAGTTGAAAGAGAACAAGATGATTATAAGATACAAGTACAAGAATATAAATAGCAATCCTAGCTAGCCATGTACTCTGAGGGGTACATTCCCTTATTAACTGAATTGCATTGCTACAGTAACTCGCGACTATTGCCGTTCTAGACAGTTACCATGTTGTATCTCGCAACTGCCTTGTGCGGTTATTGGGCAGTCAAGGGTCACAACCGTTGACTGTCTTCGACTGTTGACCTTCGGGTGACCCTCGAACTTCCGCGTGCTCTATACGAGCTCATGCGGTACTGGTACAAGCACCTGCTTCGCTATGAAGAGATGCGATAGTGGAGAGTCTTCGGGAATGCTTGTGATAACCTTTCGGTTATCCCAACACTCCCCTTCATTCCTGAAGGTGAGCCACGTGGGATTTCTTGGTGATCCCGCAGAGGTTGGCGCAGCGCTGGAACTGTTGACGTGGCAGTTTCTTTGTCAGAAAGTCGGCTGCCATGTCACCAGTCGGGCAGTACGTGAGCTTGACCTTGCCCTTGTCGATTTCGTCCTTGACGAAGAAGTAGCGAAGGGCGATGTGTTTCGTGCGATTCACGAAGCCGGGTTTGTTTGCGATCTTGATCGCACTCTGGTTGTCGCAGAGTAACTTGAAGTGCACGTTCATCGTTACTTTCGCTTCCTGCAGGAGCTCCATCAGGTACAGTCCTTCGCGAACAGCTGCGCTGGCGGCGATAAATTCTGCTTCGGCTGACGAAAGGGCGATGAGTTCCTGCTTCTAAGAGTTCCATGAGATGAGCCCAGCAGGTTGGAGTTGAAAAATAAATCCTGTGCGGGAGCGTCTGTTGTCAGCATCTCTCGCGTGGTCAGCGTCTACGTAGCCGTGCAGCTGCAGGGTAGCCGTTAAGTTAGCTTCGTAGGTGAGGCCGACGTCGGGGGTAGAGATGAAGTATTGGAGTGCGCGGCGCAGATCCTGTAGATTCTCCCCTTCAGGTCGCTTCATGTACTGAGCGAGCTGGCTTGCGACGTAGGAGAGATCGGGCCGGCACGTGACGGCGGCAAAGAGAAGGCACCCGAGCTGCTGCTGATAGAGCCGATGATCTTCAAGAGAGAGGGGCGAGGTGTCGGCTTCGTGGTTAGGAGGAGGAGTGCGAAACGGGGTGGAGAGGTTGATTGGTGCGATGCCGAATTTCTTCGCGAGTGTTTCGGCGTACTTGGCGGCGGAGAGGTGAATGGAGGAGGCAGACTGGCTGATGTTGAGTCCGAGGAATTGGGTGACGTCGTGGTTGATGGTGACTTCCAGCTGCTCCTTGATGTCTGTTTCGAACTGATCCAGTAGCTCCGTGTCGTCACCGGTGTAGAGGAGGTCGTCGACGTAGGCGACGAGGAGAATGAATTTGCCGCGCGACTCCTTCCTGTACATTCCGAGGTCGTGCGGTAGCTGTTGGAAGCCGAGGTTTGTTAGCACCGTGTGGAGGTACTGCTGCCACAGGCGAGGTGCTTGCTTGATCCCGTAAAGGGATTTCTGGAGTAGGCAGACGGCGCCGTCGTTCTCTTCGAAGGCATGCGGCTGCTCGACGAAGATGATTGCGTCGACTGGAGCGTATAAGAATGCGCTGCCGACGTCGATCTGACGGAGAGGGCGCTGTTTGACGGCTGCGATGCAGATGAGAATTCGCACGGAGGTGTGCCGTCCGACCGGTGCGTAGGTGAGATCAAAGTCCACCATGTGTGTTTGCTCGAAGCCGCGCACCACCCAACGCGCTTTGTATTTGTCAATGGAGTCGTCCGCCAGTGTCTTGATGCGGAACACCCATTTCCCGCTGAGAATTTTTCTCCCCTTCGCAGATGTCCGGGGAACCAGCTTCCAGGTGCCACGGTTTTTGAGCGACGCGATTTCTTTGGCCATGGCTGCCTTCCATTTCTCACTGTCGGGGCCGGAGAGAGCCTGGCGAACAGTGGTGGGTTCCTTGGGGGAGGAGTGGCGAACAGCGACGGCGAGCCCGAGGATGCGGAGACCAGTTTCGTTGGTCTTTTCGTAGTGCAGACGGTCGTAGTCGTGGAAGCTGGTTACTTCGACCACGTCGTCGTCACTATCGTTGCCGGGGCGGAGGGAATCCTGCGAGGTGTTTGGTGGTGGTAACTCGGCATCTGGTGACTGGCGGGCGTTGCTGTTGAAGTTGTGAGCTTCACGAGTTGTATCATCGGGGTCAGGTTGGTGTAGAGGGATGAAAGTTGGAGTTTGGAATGGGCTTGTAAGGGGGATGTTGGGTGCGCTGTCAAACTGGCTGACATTTGTTGCGTCCACATCTTCCGCCAGGTCAGCTTCATCGTGTGGAGTGGCGAAGCTGCGGTGTCCCTCGAAAACCCTTTCTGGAACCGTGTCAGCTTCCCGGTGTTCGTTGAACAGTGGCAGAGTCAGCTTCTCGTAGAAGATGCAGTCACGTGATTTCGTCACTTCGTGTGTCGCGTAGTCCAGCACGATCCACGCCTTGAATTCCTTTTCGATTCCGAGGTGGATGCCCCAGCGAGCTCGGTCAGCAAACTTTCCTGTCCTTGCTGTGTGCGGTCTGTACTGTACCATGCAGCCAAACACCCGAAGCAGACGCGTGTCTGCTTTTCTGCCCGTCCACGCCTTGTAAGGAGAGTTGTTGTTCTCGAGGCTTCGGGATGACAGCAAGTTGTGTAGCCGGACTGCATGGTTCATGGCGAACGGCCAGTAACGAGGTGGGATGGCCGACTGCTTCATCAGGGCCCTCATCCTTGTGGCGAGGCTCCTGTTTGTCCGTTCTGCTACTCCTTGCTGTTCGTGAGCGTAGGGCAGGGACACCAGATGTTCAATCCCCTTCTTCCGGAAGAGCTCCTTGAACTCGTCTGAGAAGAACTCCAGAGCTCCGTCCGTTTGCCAGCTCTTCAGTTTAAGTCCCGATTGTCGTTCAGCTCGCTTCATCCACGCGATAAAGCATTCGAAGGCGAGTGATCTGCAGTCTGTGTTGACAGCCCAAACGTGGCGAGTGCTGGCGTCGATGAAGGTCAGCGTGTAGTTTTCTCCATCGAGTCCTTCCTGTGTCAGGCACATGAAGTCGCTGTAGACCTTCTCGAATGGTTTGTAACGTTCGTAGCCGGGCGGTAAGTCGGGGAAAGGCTTGTGGGCGAGCGACGCGGCGGGACATACTGTGCACGACGGATCTTCAGAGCCTGCGGTAAGGAATCCTCCTCGTGGGAGGAGCAGGGCTTCGTTGTCGAGAACACCTG